TTCGGCACATGATGCTTCTCTTCTCCGCCACACACCATTACAACATCTTAAGGTAGGATTTCGCCTTGCATTTCCTCCAACGTCTTAAATGTCCAACCAATATTCTACAAAATGTTTGAGGAAAACTTTTACCTTCAACTCCTAATCTAATTAAAAAAAAAAAGTTACAATCTTTTCAAGCTAGTTACACAAATGTTAATGTTTGTATATGCATGTATATATAATCATTTACACAAATATATATACATATCAATTACATTTTTATATCACAAGTAATTCAACAAGAGGCTCACAACAGTCACTATTCAAAGCACTTTACATCTATGGTGAGTCACAGTTACTAGTCTTGCTGCACACCCACCCAACTGGGCGGCAGCTTTACAGTCATGTACATGCTGCACCTACAGTAAGCCAATTTTGGACAATCGACTTGAAACTGGTCCAGGACGGACCGAAACGTCGTCGTCCCTTCACCTTCTAGTGTGTGTGGTCTGGTCAACGTACTTTAGCCACGTTATTGTGACTCCTCGCCTTCAATCTTGGATACTTCGTTAAGATTCCTGGCAGGACATCATTATGAATGAAGTACTTACACATTTCTTGGACTCCATTGATGGTGTTATCTCTGAATTCCGCGATTTTTTTCACATTCCATCATATAATGACGCAAAGTATGCGAATAGTTCTGCTGACAGAGTTTACATTTAGTCAAATCTACATCAGCAGATGTTACTAACTCCCAGAGGTACTTGTAGCCGAGCCTAAGCCTAGCAGTGGTAACATCTACATAGTCTCCCAATGGAGGAGGAGGAATTGTTCACAATGAATACCTACAGAATGACGGGGAATAGATGGAAGCGTGAGTCTCAGATTGGGTCGCAGAGATGCTAGAACGTTGTAATTTAGCGTAACAGTAACGAGAATTAACATAAAATGAACTAAAGGAACTGGTTGTGGAAGCAAACACTCTTCATAATTTTAAAAGTGATCTGATAGGGTAATATGCCGGGGGTCACTGCATTGGATAACTGGCGGCTAGAAAGGCGGGGTCCTCGAACTAAAGCTCGATTCTGAATAGGTGAGTACATACACCCGCAGATAGTGAGTAATGTTACCAGATTATTCATTACTCGCGAGTGGTGTCCCGCGTGAGTAATGTCCCATTGTGTTTCCGTGTTTGAATCAGTGATTATAAACTCTCATTCCGTCTATTACCGGTACAAGTAATAATGATGAAGAGTAATAATGCATTATGATAATACAGTCAACCCCATTACCTGTGTGAGTCGTGACACAGGTAATGGGGGTGAGCTGGGCCCCAGGGCCGGGGGAGAGGGGGGGCAGGGGGCGCGGGCCCCCCCCCCCAGCAGTAGACCTGGACACACCTGTCGCTGCTAATGAAGTTGGGAGCGTAGTAACGGTGGTGGGTCTCTGGTTACTCCCCCGGGTGAGCACCTCGCCACTAGAGATCAGATGCAACACAAAATATTTAGGTATTATCGCCCTTAGTTACTCTTGTGTGGTGGGGAGAGGGGGGGAGACTACTGTAGCCTCGTATGTGGTTGTTTGTCGCTGTTGCTGCATGGGAGTTACTGTGGGGGGGGGTGGAACCCCCCCCAGTCCGTTACTGTGGGTGGTCCCCTCCACCCTTCGAGTCCGTTGCTGAGAAGGTAACAGGTGGACTGTTATTATCTCCTTGACTCGTGAAGGTACCTAGCCCATCCTAGCAGCGGGCACCTAGCCCACAGCTCGCTGACAGAGGACGAGTCATCATATATTCCGTTGCGACGCCAGAGAAAATGACACTGGAGTGATTAATGCTAATGTTATGGAGGTTGTGAGTGTGGCCGGCGCCGGGCGCCCCGGGGACAGGTCACCAGCAGCAGCACTTCCTCGACATGTTGCAGCGGCGGTGTGATGGCTCCGTGGCTCCTGGGAGGCCGCTAACACCTAGCCACAGAGGCGGGTGGGTGTGGCGCGCCTGCCTGGCCACTTTATTAGTTGGTTGAGAGGTTTCCAATTACTGTCTTCGGGAACAATGGCCCACTTGCAACCACATGTGCGTGTGTGTGTGCGCGCGTCTTTATCAAATAAGCGCACATAGAGGTGCTAGAGAGGGGGGGGATGGCGGGCCCCCCGGGGGTGAAGAGGAGCCACCAGGCTGCAGACGATGCCCCGGCCGCACTCACAGATATATGACTCCACCACAGCCATAACCAGGCCATTGGACCTCGACTTATAGATCATCACCAGATTATCCGCCTTGATGATTTGGTCGATGACCTCCGAACTTGGTGAGAAGGGTGGCAACTTTGTGGTGAGTGGGGGGGGGGGGGAGGCTGCAGGAGGCGGGGGTGGAGGAGGGGGGCGGGGGTGGGAGCGCCGCGACACTGGAGGTCACATCCCCAGGACAAGAGCCGGAGCCAACAGCGAGGAGTCGTAACCTCGCAGTTTCCTGTTGACGAATTAGCAAGAGTGTGAGTCACATTATTATTGTTCAGAGCTTCTGCTTATTTCACGTAAGGTTAGTTAATCTTATGTCTGAAGCGATCAGAAAAGTACTCCAATAATTTCCTTCTAGTGCCCACACACACACACACACACACATATATAATAGGCATCCATCAGTATCAGAAGACTATGGAGTTGCGCTCTGGTTATCAGTCGGAGTGGCCTCTCCAGGGCTCAAAGCCAGGGTAGGTTGATACGAGGAAGCAGCTGTCACCCAAGCAGCAGATCCCCTCCCCCCCTCTCCACGGCGCCGAAAGTCTCCAATGAAAAGGCACACGTAAATACGATTACTCCCAGCGCCGTTGCAGGAACTGTCAGAACAAGGTTGAAGGCAACAACGAAATGCCTAAGGGCTCCAGCTCCGGAGGTTACCTCGAAATTGGTAAAAGAAGCCACAGAGACAACAAACCCGGAGACCGCCGTGGTCGGGGCCGGAGAAGAGCCACCCCAGCAAGGGCAAGAACAACCCCAGCCTCGTGAGCAGCCTAGCGCGTTCTACGGAAGGGACGGAGATACGCCGGTCCGAGCTCGGTTCAGGACAGCTGGCCCGGCAGAACGGATGTCCCCGACCTTCACCTCGCCCAGTCCTGCGCCCAGCAGAGCTTGAGCCGCACGAGCCCCAGGAGGTGGACGTCCCAGCCCTTCACCTACGGTTCCTGACAGAGATCGCCACAGCCCCCTTTCACTCGAGACCGGCTTCCTTCAAGACCAAGCAGAAGGAAAAGTAATAATTATTAATTAATTATACTTTTATTATGATAATTATAATAATAATTGTTGTAATAACACACATATATATATATATATTACACATAAATACAAATTTATAAGGTGTATTTATAGGGGCCCTGACGGCTGAGTGGACACACCTCTGGGGTCGTAGTCCTAAGGGGCCCGGGTTCAATCCCCGGCGAAGGCGGAATTCCCAGAGGAATTACTGGCCCACGTCCATGTCATATAATTTATATGACATGGAGGTGGATCAGTAATTCTCTTGGGCTTCAGTAATAGTCAGGGAAAAGTTGAAAATATTCAGTCTTTCAGCAGAATGCTGCTTCTGAAAACTTTTCTTATTTAAGACTGCTCATAGCCTTCGGCCTCACACGCCTGGGGTCCACGGTTCAAGACCCATCTATTTTATATATAATAATATAATATAATTATAAGCGTGGATTCACCTCAACCCCATCATGCCCAATCTTGGAATGAGTAGTCCTGAAATAATTAACCCATAGTGGGAAAGTCTTCTGCTCTCTCATTTCTATTAGTCTGGCTAGAGTAATACTCAAGAATGGACTTGAGAATGGTCCAGGACGGACCGAAACGTCGTCGTCCCTTCACTTTCTAGTGCGTGATCTGGTCAACACATTTCAGCCACGTTATTGTAACTCATCGCCTACTCTGGCTAATTAGTTGTCCGGAGTGAATTACCGGAAGCCGTTACAATATGAGTACACAATGTTGGCACATATGGTACAAAATATAGGCACTAATATTGGCATATATATGGGAACAGAATATAGACATAAAATATAGGTACACAATATTAAAAAATAATGTAGGTATATATAATATGGGTACATATTAGTCCCGGTATTACGGGCTCACCATAGCCCGTGCTACTTGGAACTTTTTGTTCCGAGTAGCTGAATCTAAAACAACAATAACAAATAATAGTACATTCCTGGTAGTACAGTCGGGTTTCTTTTAGACTCGCAATCGTCAATTGTGTTCGAATCCTGGGGAGGACAGAAATCGTTGGGTACTTTGCTTAATGAACCTGCTCACGTTTCTGGAAAGGGCAACTCACCCCCATGAAGTTTCCACTAGATGTAGCGTACATGAACGTCTGTGAAGCCTTTAAGGTATTACACAAAATTCTGGCACATAAACTACAAGCACAATGAGTAAACGGCAAAACACCAGAATGAATCATATGGTTAAAACTAAGCGGAGGTCGCCCTCAATGGGAAAGAAGCAGACTGGAAAAAATGTGCTAAGTGGAGTACCGCAAGATTCCATTTTAGGACCACTCATTATTGTACTCATACATCAACTACATAGGTACCAAATCACAAATCAATTCACTTAGACTTGCTCAGCTTAGGTTTCCTCGTCTTAAGGGGTAGGTGTTATGCCTGAGGCGTCCGCATCCAAGATTTTAGTGTTAGTGCACCCGATCTCCTGTGTTGTCAATATTGCTCACATGTGCTGGTCTCTGAGGTGTATTATTCAACTGTGGTGCTGAACGGTATCACAGAATTATCTCAAGATGTATGACAGTCGGTTCACAAGGACATATTGACCTATGAGTATGTTGCGCTGCATGGTTCCTTAGGAATGTATCAAAATATCTAACACTGAATTTGCAGCTACAAGATAGTCTACTGGGAGTATACTCATAATCTCCTTAATCATGCTCCAACACCTGGAACCCAAAACCCCTCTGGTGATACTGGTGTGTTTAGGGTTCTTCTATAGTTTCATAGATGTCTTCGTCGTCGTCAGCGCTGAAGGTGCTACCGGAGGGCTTTGTGTCTGAGGGCGGCGGTTTACTGGGCAGCTGAGGTTTAGGGGGTGGCCATTGACGCCCGCCCACCTCCTTGGGACCAGAGGACGCGGGAAGATTGGAATTTGGGCTGTTGCTCCGCACCGACTGTGAGGGCTTCAAGGCTGAGTGCAAGAATGATGGTTTGTTGGACGGTACGGGCGGTCGAGACATCTGTTGACTCTCTTCCACCTCGTCGTATGGGTCCTGATCGTCTTCGATTGTTTCAAGTTGTCGCGGCAAGGTGTTGGGCTCGTCTGAGAACGATGAGGAAGTGTGGATGGCAGAGTCTCTTCTTACAGGCGGTGGTGGCGGGACGCGGGCGGGAGCCGGAGGGTTCCTGGACATATTAGGACCATTGGAGGGCGAGGTGACTGGAGGTGGATAAGTTTTGGGTGGAGGTGGATAAGCTGTGGCTGAAGGTGGGTTGGTTTTAGGTGGAGGTGGATAATCTGTGGGTGGTGGCGGATAAGTTGTGGGTGGTGGCGGATAATCTGTGGGTGGTGGCGGATAATCTGTGGGTGGTGGCGGATAAGCTGTTGGAGGTGCCGGATAAGCTGTGGTTTGAGGTGTACCAGAACTAGGTACAGATGGTGGTGGCTTGTTTGTGGGTGGAGGGGAGTAAGAATTGTTAAGTACATTGTTCTTAGAATTATCGTTGTTCTCGTTATTGCCAACATCTGTGTAACATTCGTCATCATCAATACCAATTTTCTCCTGATGGGCTGCGGGGCGCTGAGACTGTGTGATGGTGGGCCCCTGTGAAGTCTTCGGCGACGCTCCTGATGGACTGTCTGTTTGCAACAACTCCATGCCATCCTGATCGTTTTGTCTGAGACTCCTTTTGCGATTTAATAAGACGGAAAATGAAACACAACCAATCAGAATACCAATAACTAGACCAGTACCGATTCCAGCCACGATCCATACAACTATTGGCAAAGGGCTAATGAAAAGAGCAAAGAGACGTAGACCACCGCCAGCATCTTTTATTGTGAAGGAAACATTGAGGTTGTTCCCTATTGTTACTCTGTGGAACTCAACAGTACCACTTTCTACGATGACGCTGTCAACTTCAGCATTGGCTATATGGCAGTCCTCCACCCTCAGTGTGGCTCCACCTTGCAGGATGATAGCCCTCGCTGGCAGGCTGTGGATAGTCACCTGCTGCAAAGTTAGTGTTCCTTTACTCACCACCAAACCCTCGCTCTCCACCTTATCCACAGTTACGTTCACGATTTCTGAATTTTCTGCACTCGAATTGTAATTCAAATGTTTTAGGTTGCCGATATAACTGGTGTCAATCTTGAATGTGAAGTTTCCGTCCAGTATGACTCGCCTTAAGATTTTGACAGTGGAGTCGTTAATCTCACAGAGAGCGTCAGTTGCTCTCACGCTCAGGTCAGCCACAGTCGAACTATATATGTCGAACTGTTCAACCGGGTCTCTCTTGATAAGGTCCACTTCGGAGTTGTTGATCCTCAGCAAGGATGCCACGCTGGTGATGGCAGTCGCTGAGGAATTAGTAAGATGCAAGTGTACCACACAGCTCTCATCCCCCACTCTTGCTGCTGTCTTAACGTTTTTTGAGTCAATGATTTTGACACGTTTATCCTTGCCCGGGCATTGTTCTTCGATGTTAAGAGACTTGGCACCAATGACGACCATCTCATCTATGTCCTCCCATGTGGCCGTGGGCAACTCAGAGCTCTGCGGAGCAACGGGAGAGAAATATTAGCTCAATTAGGATGTTGTAAATGAGACAAGTTGCTCTCCCACTACCCAGAGATGCCTCGGAGCACAGCAATCAAGGAGTCGCCAGCACCTGTAAATAAGACCTGTATTTAGCATTTATCAACGTCACAGGGCAACCTTGGTCAGAGGGATTACTTACTATTATGTAAGAGATAAATGGAAAATAAATGATATAAACATATACTGTTGAGATAATGAATAGAAGCTCTTGTGTTTGTTAAATTCAAAGATATAACACTTGCCAATATTTTTTTGAGCCATTAAATTGTTTTTGGTATTGTCGGGAACAGGAAACCTGTTAGGGTAATCGAGGTCCAACTAGGCCTACTATTGTTGACTAACTCCCGGGTACCTATTGACTCCTAGGTGAACAGGTGCATCAGGCGTCAGTATATGTGCCCGAACGCCTCGTACCTCCCAGGAATCGAACCCGGGGTCATCACGCACATATGGGAGGCAAAGTTGTATTAAGTAACATTAACAAACTGACGCTTTATTTTTTGTTAATATTTGCTGTTGTTACTGGTGTGTGGCGTCGCCGTCAGGTGGTGTTTCTCACCTCGCTTCTGCCAGTAACGTTGCAGGTCAGGATCCTGGAGGTTAAGTTGCACAGGAAGGAGCCCTGCAGGAGATGGTCCGGGTGGGTCGTGCACCCACCAAGAGCCGCCATCGCGGTTATCACTGTCCTGTAGAGAACACCACCATGTTAGTCCTAGACGGAGGGGGGGGGGGATTGGCGAGGGTAGTGCTGTATCGGGTGATACTGTATGAGGTAGTGCTTAAAAGGGCGTTGCTGAAGGAGGTGTTGCTTTAGTGAGTAGGAGAGAGAGAGGCCCTTTTCCTAAACTAGCCCTTCAACCCTTAGCTTTCATAAAACAGCCGCAGACACTCATACGGTCGTGACAGCAAGCAAAATAAGGAAATGCGAGCATGCTCGCGCTTGGCCAAGTATCCTATCTCCCAAGAGCTCCTAACTGTTGGTTTCTGAAGTGTGACCCACGTGGTAAACACTCAGGCCTGTCTGCAGGTCGGCGTTCAATCCCCGAGCGTCCAAGTGGTTAGGCACCATTCCTTTCCCCCCCCCCTGTCCCATCCCAAATCCTTATCCTGATCCCTTCCTAGTGCTATATAGTCTTAATGGCTTGGCACTTTACCCCGATAGTTCCATTCCATTCTAGACACATGAACAAATTGTTATACAACATTGTGCATGATTGTTCTCCAAAATCAGTTAATTTTCAGAAAAATGTTTAACTACGTAACTGGGTTGTTTTATAATAGGTTGAGGCTGTGTAACTTGGGCAAACACTGTGGCAGGTTGTAGTCTGGTCGCTAAAACGTGGCGTGAAGGTTGTGTAACAGGAGTGGGTATGTAATTTTTAAAGTCTCTCTCTCTCTCTCACACACACACACACACACACACACACACACACACACGCACACGCACACGCACACGCACACGCACACGCACGCACACACACACACGCCTTACCATGCTATGATTGTGTCCCTTATTCGGCGTGAGACAGCGACATGACCAAAGGACTTTCTCCTTAGGGTATAAGTGCCCCACATCCCGCCCTCGAGAGTGACGCCCTCCTTCAAGACTGTCTAGAGGAGACGGTTGACCTCTCAGTCGCCTGATGATGCCAGACCTCATCCACCTTCCAGGTGTAGGTCGAGCTCCCTGTCTTGGTTAACGAGGAGGAGGTCGAGGCTATCTCTTCAAGTAGAGGGTGACGTAATAAGGTCCTCCTTCAGGTGGCAGATGAAGGAAGAGATCCTCGACAGGGTGGCGCTCGTCTATACAGTGCAGGGTGAAGGTTCAGATCTTGAATGTAATCACTTTCTTTCGGTGAGAGGAAGTGAATCTCAAGCTTTAGCGCGGCTTCCGTGCATCTCCTGGTGGCACTGGCACTCTCCTCCTCCTGGTGGCACTGGCACTCTCCTCCTTCTGGTGGCACTATAACACTGGCACGCTTCTTCTGGTGGCACTATGATACTAGCACTTTCTTCCTCCCGGTGGAGGAAGGAAACTCCGGCGACCACTTCTATCACTGGTACTCTCCTCCTGGTGGCACTGGTATTGACACTCTTCTCCTCGTCTTAACACTCTGGCACTCTCCTCCTCCTGTTGGCATTCTGTCACTGGCATTACCCTCGCACAGCTTCCTGTCCTGTATCAAATTATCACAGTTTTCCTGACTGTAGATTACCTAGTCTTGAAGATGGTTACGTCACTCTCCTACAACATTGTTAGCACTAATATGTCAGCTGTTGCACCGGCTGTTGCACCGTCTGTGTTGCACCAGCTGGAAGACTATCGACGCCCAAGATACCCCAGACGATAAAGATTCAGGTGTCCTGGGAACTCTGTATAGTCTAACACAGTCGCAGCCTGAGGGCAGAATCGCGATAATCTGTGCTGAAGTCAAGCTCAGTCTTTTTCAGTCTTAAATTAAAGGGCATAAGCACAAAAAGGTCTTTTAGTGACCTCCGGCGAAGCAGGATCCCGACTCCCACCACACCCTGAGGGCACACCAGGAGCCCACCACACCCTGAGGGCACACCAGGAGCCCACCACACCCTGAGGGCACACCAGGAGCCCACCACACCCTGAGGGCACACCAGGAGCCCACCACACCCTGAGGGCACACCAGGAGCCCACCACACCCTGAGGGCACACCAGGAGCCCACCACACCCTGAGGGCACACCAGGAGCCCACCACACCCTGAGGGCACACCAGGAGCCCACCACACCCTGAGGGCACACCAGGAGCCCACCACACCCTGAGGGCACACCAGGAGCCCACCACACCCTGAGGGCACACCAGGAGCCCACCACACCCTGAGGGCACACCAGGAGCCCACCACACCCTGAGGGCACACCAGGAGCCCACCACACCCTGAGGGCACACCAGGAGCCCACCACACCCTGAGGGCACACCAGGAGCCCACCACACCCTGAGGGCACACCAGGAGCCCACCACACCCTGAGGGCACACCAGGAGCCCACCACACCCTGAGGGCACACCAGGAGCCCACCACACCCTGAGGGCACACCAGGAGCCCACCACACCCTGAGGGCAGGAGCCAGGAGCACCACACCCTGAGGGCACACCAGGAGCCCACCACACCCTGAGGGCACACCAGGAGCCCACCACACCCTGAGGGCACACCAGGAGCCCACCACACCCTGAGGGCACACCAGGAGTTCAAGCCGCCACCGGACACTTTCTCCCCGGCAGAAGATCCAACCAGGAAACGGAAAAAAGTCTTGTCAACTACCCTGTGATCCTAAATGGCCTGGCAAGTGAGCCAGGCCATTTATATATTAGAATTTGGTGCATAGTTAGGGTAATAACGGGGCTGAAAATTAAACCCCCATGTTTCACATATCTATAAAGAAAGGAAGTGACGTATTGGTCAGCACTGGGCTGTTATCAAGCCGTCATATCCTTTCTTTTCAGACGTGTGAGAGGTTGGGGGTCTAAGGTTCTGTATAATTAAATGTTTAGGCAGAATTTAACTGAAAGATTAAATTCAATGAAGGATTAAAAACAAATTTTCTCCCTTTTTCTCTTCTTTTAAGTGACGAAGAAAAATGAGGAACGTGGAGCTTGGTCTCCAGTGTGAAACAGAGAAAGAGGCGGTGTAACGAGAGGATTTACTGCAGATAAACAATCAGTTTTCTTATCTTGACTGAATATAGACGAAGACATGTAACAGTACTGTCACAAGGGTCGGGGGTAGTGTATAAATGCACCCCCCCCCCTCCCCCGAGAAACCTATTTTCTTACAAATTGCGTCTGAATTTGGCCGTTTGGCCGAAAATGGACGTACAGTAATTTGAAAAAGATACATAATTGAAAATCAATTTTAAATTAAGAAAGTGACGTGTGTGGAGAGTTAGTGTCATAATTTCTGTTTGTCCTGCACACCCTCCCCCTCCCCCCCCATCCAGTGGGCAGCGGTGGATAGGTTACAATCACTCAGTTATTACCTACAGTTAGCAAACTGGGGATATTTGGCTAAATTTTCTGGTAGCAGATCATTTTAAATGAAATATTTACACATCTTTGGAACATTTGTTATAAAATAGTCTCTGAATTCACATATCTTTTCGCACTCCATCACTTACAAGTATCTCTGGGAATTTTCATTATCTGCTGATGTAGACATGACCAAATGTAAACTGTGTGAACTACATTTTTCGCACACCCTCCGTCACTATCTACGGAGGGTGACAGCCGGCGTGAAAGACCACCCCGCTTGACCGAGCCGTCTCGTACTGTACCTCCTAAGAAGAGATACAACCATTGTTGACCTGCGTCACTATGTTTACCTAGAGAGGGTTGTGGGTATAACAGTAAGGTTGAACTAGAACGCTGCGCCTATAGCACCGCTGTCACCAATTTTAGAACAGAACTCTGGTGCTTCAAACACATAACTCCATGTTCACTATTCCATTCACCACCGCTGACCACTGGCAGTGGTTGGAACTGGACACACTAACCACTTGGAATGATAGACTTGCCAAGGCTGCTGGTTCCACAGATAAGGAATGCTGCCACCACTGTTTTCAAGCGAACAGAGATCACGCCCATTAATTAGGGACCCTGGGTAGAGTAGGCCCCTTGGATAGTTAGTTACTTGTGAGCAGATAATAGAGACATTCTCTTGATAATTACTAAAAAAGGGGGATTTTCCTTTTATTATTACTTTAAATTATTTGATAATTACTGTAAAGTTGTATAGATATGCTGGAGAACCAATAGGAATTAACCGATGGCTCAAGGGCTTGGTGGAATGTGTCCACTTTGATGAGAGGAGGAAGAGGAGGAAACTGATACGAACGAGGACTAATTTAACAATACGTTTATTAATTCAAGTATATACTATACAATTAATATATCATAAAGCTCCAAATATCCCTACTGGCAATGGGTGTCGGCTACACAGGGGAAATGGACGCTGATTAAAGTCATTTACCTTACAGGGCTGTTGGAGTAATCCTTTGCCGAGATGGTAATGTCTGCTGTCCCCTCTAGCCCATGCGCACCACCCTACACGACTCGTTGCCCACGGTGTTTACATAGAGATAATATCACCACACTAACTGGCTGAGCATATTTGGTTAGGGTGTACCAGCCACAGTTAGCAAGGAACGGTTAGTTAGGCATAGTTAAGCAGTCAAGCTGAACTAATCTCAGGTAACACAAAAAATTTGTGCAAAAGCACATTGTAAGAAATGCACATTCAAGTCCACTTTTTCTGTCTTGTGAGGAGTTACAGTTACGTAATCAATGACACGTGACCAAACGTGTCATTGTCACTAAACGTACCAAACTTGGATAAATCACGAGACACGTGTCCTTAGGATTTCACTTGGACTTGCTCAGCTTAGGTTTCCTCGTCTTAAGTTGCAGGTGTTATGCCTGAGGCGTCTGCATCCAAGATTTTAGTGTCAGTTCACCGGATCTCCTGTGTTGTCATTATTGCTCAGAGTGCTGGTCTCTGAGGTGTATTATTCATTATTAGATGTATTATTAGTATTATGTATTATTAGTGCTTAACGGTATCACAGAATTGCCTCAAGATGAATGACACTTCACAAGGACATGTTGAGAAACATGTTGAGAAAATAGGAATGTATCAAAGTATCTAACACTGAATTTGCAGCTACAAGATAGTCTACTGGGAGTATACTCATCCTCTCCTTAATCATGCTCCAACACCTGGAACCCAAAACCCCTCTGGTGATACTGATGGTTTAGGGTTCTTCTATAGTTTCATAGATGGGTTCTTCGTCGTCGTCAGCGCTGAAGGTGCTACCGGAGGGCTTTGTGTCTGAGGGCGGCGGTTTACTGGGCAGCTGAGGTTTAGGGGGTGGCCATTGACGCCCACCCACCGTCGGACCAGAGGACGCAGGAGGATTGGAATTTGGGCTCGTGGTCCGCACTGACTGTGAGGGCTTCAGGGGTGTGTGCAAGAATGATGGCTTGTTGGACGCTACGGGCGGTCGAGGCATCTGTTGACTCTCTTCCAACTCGTCATAGAAATCTTGATCGTCTTCCAGTGTTCCCTGTTGTTGTGGCAGAGCGCCGCGCTCCTCTGAGAACGACGAAGAAGTGTTCATGGCGGAATCCGTTCTTACAGGCGGTGGTGGCCGGACGCGGGCGGGAACCAGAGGGTTGCTGGACATGTTAGGACCATTGGAGGGTGAGGTGGCTGGAGGTGGATTGGTTGTAGTCGGAAGTGGATAAGCTGTGGGTGGTGGCGGATAAGCTTTAGGTGGAGGTGGATAAGCTGTGGCTGGAGGTGGATAAGATGTGGGTGGTGGCGGATAAGCTGTGGTTGAAGGTGTACCAGAACTAGGTACAGATGGTGGTGGCTTGTTTGTGGGTGGAGGGGAGTAAGAATTGTTAAGTACATTGTTCTTAGAATTATCGTTGTTCTCGTTATTGCCAACATCTGTGTAACATTCGTCATCATCAATACCAATTTTCTCCTGATGGGCTGCGGGGCGCTGAGACTGTGTGATGGTGGGTCCCTGTGAAGTCTTCGGCGACGCTCCTGATGGACTGTCTGTTTTCAACAACTCCATGCCATCCTGATCGTTTGACCGTTTGTTTCTTCGGTTCAAGAAGTAGAAACCTAATGCACCACCAATCAAAATACCAATAACAAGACCAATACATATTCCAGCCACTATCCATTTGGCTATTGATGAAGGGCCAAATACAAGAGCAAAGAGACGTAGACCACCGCCAGCATCTTTTAGTGTGAAGGAAACGTTGAGGTTGTTCCCTATTGTTACTCTGTGGAACTCAACAGTACCACTTTCTACGACGACGCTGTCAACTTCAGCATTGGCTATGTGGCAGTCCTCCACCCTCAGTGTGGCTCCACCTTGCAGGATGATAGCCCTCGCTGGCAGGCTGTGGATAGTCACCTGCTGCAAAGTTAGTGTTCCTTTACTCACCACCAAACCCTCGCTCTCCACCTTATCCACAGTTACGTTCACGATTTTTGAATTTTCTTCACTCGAATTGTAATTCAAATGTTTTAGGTTGCCGATATAACTGGTGTTAATCTTGAAGGTGAAGTTTCCGTCCAGTATCACTCGCCTTAAGATTTTGACAGTGGAGTCGATAATCTCACAGAGAGCGTCAGTTGCTCTCACGCTCAGGTCAGCCACAGTCGAACTATATATGTCGAACTGCTCAACCGGGTCTCTCTTGATAAGGTCCACTTCGGAGTTCTTGATCCTCAGCAAGGATGCCACGCTGGTGATGGCGGTCGCTGAGGAATTAGTAAGATGCAAGTGTACCACACAGCTCTCATTCCCCGGGAGAGTCTTAACTTTTTGTGAGCCAATGATTTTGACAAGTTTCCCCCTGGCGTTGCATTGTGGTTTGATGTTAAGAGACTTGGCACCAATGACAATAGTTTTGTTTATGTTTTTCCACGTAGATGAATGCAACACAGAAACCTGCGGGAGAACAACATTACATTAGAATAATGTGAAGTAAACAGGTGTGTCTGTCTGATAAGTGTCGTCAACCACAAGGATGATGGCGGCTGTATCACGACACATTGTTCAGGACCCGTAACTATGATACGTGTGTTAAGGGAGACAACCCTTCACACCGAACCATGCCAAGGGGCAATAGAAACATCTTGTAAAATTAGAGAATAAGAAGAAATGTCAAAGGATAGGTTTACACATTTACAGTGCTATTCGGGGTAAACACGAGTGGCTATTTTCCTTAGTATATACAAACATTATAATAAGGCCTTAATATGTTATTGAGCAATGGTCTATGCACAGCTGATACAGGACTTAATTGAATTACCAGAATTTTGATACACGATTATTCAATAAACTATTATGGTATTTTTTACTACGATACTTTTTAAGCTTAAAACGCCGAGGTCTGTTAGGTTATTGGTTATTATTACTGTTAGGTCACCTCTGGGTGATTGTTTAAAGTCATGGTCCAAATGGCACCAAGCTTTACAATCAATAAAGCTTAGTGCCTGGCGCGTGTTGTGTGACGCATCCTCACGTCTGTGGTGTGTTACCACCTGCTGGGGGATGACAGATGTCGTGGTGCCCCCTGGCAGGTACTGGTGCCCCCTGGCAGGTACTGGTGCCCCCCTGGCAGGTACTGGTGCCCCCTGGCAGGTACTGGTGCCCCCCTGGCAGGTACTGGTGCCCCCTGGCAGGTACTGGTGCCCCCCTGGCAGGTACTGGTGCCCCCTGGCAGGTACTGGTGCCCCCTGGCAGCCACTCGTGCCCCCTGGCAGGTACTGGTGCCCCCTGGCAGGTACTGGTGCCCCCTGGCAGGTACTGGTGCCCCCTGGCAGCCACTCGTGCCCCCTGGCAGGTACTGGTGCCCCCTGGCAGGTACTGGTGCCCCCTGGCAGGTACTGGTGCCCCCTGGCAGGTACTGGTGCCCCCTGGCAGCCACTCGTGCCCCCTGGCAGGTACTGGTGCCCCCTGGCAGGTACTGGTGCCCCCTGGCAGGTACTGGTGCCCCCTGGCAGGTACTGGTGCCCCCTGGCAGCCACTCGTGCCCCCTGGCAGGTACTGGTGCCCCCTGGCAGGTACTGGTGCCCCCTGGCAGGTACTGGTGCCCCCTGGCAGGTACTGGTGCCCCCTGGCAGGTACTGGTGCCCCCTGGCAGGTACTGGTGCCCCCTGGCAGGTACTGGTGCCCCCTGGCAGCCACTGGTGCCCCCTGGCAGGTACTGGTGCCCCCTGGCAGGTACTGGTGCCCCCTGGCAGCCACTGGTGCCCCCTGGCAGGTACTGGTGCCCCCTGGCAGGTACTGGTGCCCCCTGGCAGCCACTGGTGCCCCCTGGCAGGTACTGGTGCCCCCTGGCAGCCACTGGTGCCCCCTGGCAGGTACTGGTGCCCCCTGGCAGCCACTGGTGCCCCCTGGCAGGTACTGGTGCCCCCTGGCAGCCACTGGTGCCCCCTGGCAGGTACTGGTGCCCCCTGGCAGGTACTGGTGCCCCCTGGCAGGTACTGGTGCCCCCTGGCAGGTACTGGTGCCCCCTGGCAGCCACTGGTGCCCCCTGGCAGGTACTGGTGCCCCCTGGCAGCCACTGGTGCCCCCTGGCAGCCACTGGTGCCCCCTGGCAGGTACTTACCTTGTCTTCACCAGTCACGTCACAGGTGAGGGTGAAGGAGCTTTGGTTGTGGACGCAGGAGGCGTAACCTTGCAGGAGGGGGATGGTGTCCTGAGCCGCCACTCTGCCGGCCGCTGCCACCGTGACCACCACCACTACCCTGCAGGGGAATCTCTGCTTCTTAGTCACGTTGTTGTTTTAGATTCGGCTACTTAGAACAAAAGTTCCAAAGTAGCACGGGCTATGGCGAGCCCGTAGTGGACTTACCTGGCACAGGAGCGGGGCTGTAACTGTTCTTAGTCACGCTAAGTGGTGCTAAAGGGGTGTAGTGGTGGTGAGGTGATGATTGACAAGATTGATAAAGATTAAGCCACCCAAGAGGTGGCACGGGCATGAATAGCCCGTAAAATTGACAAGGTTAAGATGGAAGGGGTGTACTGGTGGTGAGGTGTTGGTGATTGCGATAAGATGGTGCTATTGCGATGTAGATATTTATAAAACCTCGACATGCAATACGAGATTAAATTAGTCACAGGAATCACGAACTTAGTTACTATGGCAACTGTTAGGTGATAAGTATGGCAGTAAGTTACCACCAGGATCTTAGAGTAAACTGAGACCGAGAGTAACTTTTATCAAAGATGAAAGTAACATTGTGTCATTAATTGTTAAAGAGTCGCCAAACGTTACAATTTAAAGTGTAAAACACTTAAAAATTCCCAAAACATAAACTGCAAACAAAGCGATACTTTTAAGGCACAACTAAATAAAACAATATAATAGTTGGTTTACAAACAAGTGCAGTTTACATCAAACAAAAACGGTTTATAGCAATAGACTTACATTTTGTTTACTGCTCCAGGTCGATGGTACTTATAAGAAGTTTATAGTGTTCCTTACTGATTAGCGAGTAATTGTAAACAATTAGGTCCCTCACCAGTACTGTCCTAGTGTACCAGTCACCACTAAACACCGTTAACGAAGGTCTACATAGCAGCACACCAGCAGCTTAGAACAGTAAACATCAAGCTTTATATCACCATAAGTTTGTTTTGATTTGCCAATAATACGTTAGGTTAGCACACTACACAACCGTGAACCACCATACACAACCGTGAACCACCATACACAACCGTGAACCGCCATACACAACCGTGAACCACCATACACAACCGTGAACCACCATACACAACCGTGAACCACCATAAACAACCGTGAACCACCATACACAACCGTGAACCACCATACACAACCGTGAACCACCATAAACAACCGTGAACCACCATACACAACCGTGAACCACCATACACAACCGTGAACCACCATAAACAACCGTGAACCACCATACACAACCGTGAACCACCATACACAACCGTGAACCACCATACACAACCGTGAACCACCATACACAACCGTGAACCACCATAAACAACCGTGAACCACCATAAACAACCGTGAACCACCATACACAACCGTGAACCACCATACACAACCGTGAACCACCATACACAACCGTGAACCACCATACACAACCGTGAACCACCATACACAACCGTGAACCACCATACACAACCGTGAACCACCATACACAACCGTGAACCACCATACACAACCGTGAACCACCATACACAACCGTGAACCACCATACACAACCGTGAACCACCATACACAACCGTGAACCACCATAAACAACCGTGAACCACCATACACAACCGTGAACCGTGAACCACCATACACAACCGTGAACCACCATACACAACCGTGAACCACCATACACAACCGTGAACCACCATACACAACCGTGAACCACCATAAACAACCGTGAACCACCATACACAACCGTGAACCACCATACACAACCGTGAACCACCATACACAACCGTGAACCACCATACACAACCGTGAACCACCATAAACAACCGTGAACCACCATACACAACCGTGAACCACCATACACAACCGTGAACCACCATACACAACCGTGAACCACCATACACAACCGTGAACCACCATACACAACCGTGAACCACCATAAACAACCGTGAACCACCATACACAACCGTGAACCACCATAAACAACCGTGAACCACCATACACAACCGTGAACCACCATACACAACCGTGAACCACCATAAACAACCGTGAACCACCATAAACAACCGTGAACCACCATACACAACCGTGAACCACCATAAACAACCGTGAACCACCATACACAACCGTGAACCACCATAAACAACCGTGAACCACCATACACAACCGTGAACCACCATACACAACCGTGAACCACCATAAACAACCGTGAACCACCATACACAACCGTGAACCACCATACACAACCGTGAACCACCATACACAACCGTGAACCACCATACACAACCGTGAACCACCATAAACAACCGTGAACCCCACCAAACCAGCAATAGTTATCACTAACCAAGCAGGAACGATGTGTATCGCCAACAAGATCTATATCATCAAACTAAACAAGTTTACATCATCACGTAATAGTCTACACCACCAGTGCCAGTCTACATCACAAACAACAACAGTATTGGATCTCCGGGTGACGAAGTTTACATAACAGAAGAGCATCGATTTACATCAAAACAAATTAAATACAAGTTTACATCAAAGTACAACACAATAGTTTACATCAACAAACAGCAGTCGATAAAACCAAATATAAACCACCGAACATCAATTGTTAAACCTACACACATAACATAAACCACAAGACTGAAAACGAAACAATCGCTGAATTGTACAGTAACTTATATTTGTACACCATGTACATGCTCGCTACCATGACCGTATCAGTACGGGGCTCGCTACAATGACCGTATCAGTACGGGGCTCGCTACAATGACCGTATCAGTACGGGGCTCGCTACAATGACCGTATCAGTACGGGGCTCGCTACAATGACCGTATCAGTACGGGGCTCGCTACAATGACCGTATCAGTACGGGGCTCGCTACCCCTGTACTAGACTCCACTGTAAGAGGTCATAAAGGCTAACTCAATGCTGTTTTCTAGGTAAATATCGAAAGAAAAATGTTATTGCCTCCGACTACTAAGAGGTTGAAAGGCAGGGCTGAGGCGGTGACTCGACCCAGCAGGCACATAGGTCTGGGACCTGACGGCTGAGTGGACAGCGCTCGGGTTTCGTAGTCTTAAGGGTCCGAATTCGATCCCCGGCGGAGGTGGAAACAAATGGGCAGAGTTTCTTTCACTCTGATGCCCCCTGTTCACCTAGCAGTAAATAGATACCTGGGAGTTATACAGCTGCTACGGGCTGCTTCCTGGGAGTGTGTGTGTGTGTGTGTGTGTGTGTGTGTGTGTGTGTGTGTGTGTGTGAGGGGGGGGGAAATCAGTGTTCAGTTGAGAGGCGGGCCCAAAGAGCCAGAGCTGAACCCCCGTAAGCACAACTAGGGGAGTACATGTAGGCGAGTGCGCAGCAGCAGAAGCAGCCAACGCCTTACCATGCTATGACTGTGTCCAGCTGTCGGCCTGAGACGGTGCCTTGACCAAGAGACTTTTTCTTCAGGGGATAAGTGCCCCACATCCCGCCCTCGAGGGTGACGCCCTCCTTCAAGATTGGCTGGAGGACAAGGTCGACCACTCAGTCGCCCGGTGAGGCCAGACCTACTCCACCTTCCAGGGATAGGTCGGGCTCCTTGTTTGAGTTAAAGAGGAGGCTGAGGCCTTCTCTTCAAGTGGAGGGTAACGTAGTGAGGTCCTCCTTCAGGTGCCAGACGAAGGAAGAGGTCCTCAGTGCAAGGTGGAGCTCGTCTATGCAGGTACTGGGTGGAGAGTGAGGTCCTCCCTCCAGGAGAAGGGTGTGGTCTCTCGTCTGTTCTCACACAGAGAAGGCGAGGCAGCAGCACACGCCCTCTCTTACTCCTGGTGGCACTAGGATGACACTTAAGGGACGCTTAGTGGCACTGGCTCTCTGCCCGCGACGCGCAGGATATGAGTACAGCTTCCTGTCTACCAGACTAACACACGTTTCAAAACTTATTTTTTTGTTTGAATTACGAATTCAGGAATATTTGTTTCTTTGAAAATCTGGTTATATATCTAATTATTTTGACATGTACTCACCTAGTTGTCCTTGCGGGGGTTGAGATTTGGCTCTTTGGTCCCGCCTCTCAACCGTCAATCAACTGATGTACAGGTTCCTGAGCCTACTGGGCTCTATCATATCTACATTTGAAACTGTGTATGGAGTCAGCCTCCACCACATCACTCCCTAGTGCATTCCATTTACTAACTACTCTGACATTGAAAAAGTTCTTTCTAATGCCTCTGTGGTTTATTTGGGTACTCAGCTTCCACCCGTGTCCTCTTGTTCGTGTCCCACCCTTGTTAAATAATCCATCCTTGTCTACCCAGTCAATTCCCTTGAGAATTTTGTATGTGGTGATCACGTCTCCGCGAGCTTTTCTGTCTTCCAGCGACGTGAGGTGCAATTCACGCAGCCTGTCCTCGTAACTCATGCCTCTTAGTTCTGGAACTAGCCTAGTGGCATACCTCTGAACTTTTTGCAGCTTCGTCTTGTGCTTACAAAGGTACTGGCTCCATGCCGGGGCTGCATACTCCAGAATTGGCCTTACATGTGCCTACGACCATGTGTTACGCCAGCTAGGTGCTGGTTATGTAAAAGTTAAATTACGTTAGATGGTGTAAGCTTTATTATTCAACAGTATGATTACTTTAAGGTGCTGGAAAGTTGTAAAGGCTGAGATTTGACTTGAAAACCTAGTGCCCCCGTCGTCATGTATCTAACACTCGTAGCCAAAGCTGATTGTATATTACAACTTCTCACGACTTAATATTTAGGAAATATATAAATAGAGACGCATAAGCAATCTAATTGATGGCTGGTATAATACAAATAACATGTGATACAGGTTAAACATCTCCCGTTCTCTTCTACCTGCAGGGGTGACTGCGTCGAAGGGCTCCCGAGGCTGTACCCAGGTCTGCCCTCAGGAAATCAAGCCGGTGTGTGGCAGCGATGGCGTCCTCTACCCCAGCATCTGCCATATGAAGAAGGACAACTGTGATAAAGGTAAGACTCAAGATGAGACGGTGATTGTGTCTGAGGAGGGAGGGGTTGCTTAGAGTTGGGGAGAGGTTTTTTTTTTTTATTTGCTGACGAGGAGTCACAATAACGTGACTGAAATATGTTGACCAACCCACACAGTAGAAAGTGAAGGGACGACGACATTTCGGTCCGTCCTGGACCATTCTCAATCGATATACCATCAAGTGTTCCAGTATTTATATAGTAGTTACACAGTTCAGCATACCTCAGCCCAGGAGAGCGAAAGTCAGTCAATATGGGACATTCTACAATATAATGTTCAAGGGAGTCCATGTTTTCACTTTCACAAAGTTGACACATTGTGTACTCAACATTTGGGGTTTGAGAAAGCTGCCAGATACGTCTATATCCCAGGCGTATTCTGGCCACTATAACATCACATTGCCGAGTTCTTGCTCTATTAGTCCCATATGTGAATGTTTCCTCACGATATCTATCATAATATTTAATGCTACAACTTTCAGGTCTTTGTGAATTTGTTTGATCAATAAGATTTTCATTAGACAGTTGTATAATCATTCTCTCTGCACTGCTAATGAAACGCCCATATAAATTTCAACTAGTGGTTTCCTACAGTCCGTCTTCGCAAGCATATCAACAGTGTCATGCCTTGAGATGCCAACATGTGATGGTATCCATAGGAATTTAATTTCAAATCTGTTTTCTTTAGCAGCTAAAACATTCATTCGAATATCACTGACAAGTTTATGGGTGTTACTACTATGTGCGTTCAATGCCAGGAGTGCACTCTGCGAGTCATAGTATATAAGTCCACTGCCTTTGTCTTTTTTAAAAATTCAGTGGCAAGCTATATGCCTGCACGTTCTGGGAGTGAGAGACCCCTTCTTGGGAGGGGTCATGGGGGGGGGGGTAACGACGAGAGGGCGTCTTCAGGAATGATTGGCTAACACATGTTACGAGTTCATCTGTACAAAGTTAGCACATGTGCACTAAGAAATACTAACTGAAGTTATCCATGTACACCAACAGACGTATACGTGGTGCCAGACAGTCGGTGCCTGAGAGCACAGGGAGGCACCTGCGACCACAGGTGCACAAACACGTACGACCCCGTCTGCGCCTCCGACGGCCGCACCTATGTCAACCTCTGTATCCAGCGCGTCGAAAACTGCAGGTGGGTGTACAGGTGTTGGGATGACACCTGCAGGTGGGTGTACAGGTGTTGGGATGACACCTGCAGGTGGGTGTACAGGTGTTGGGATGACACCTGCAGGTGGGTGTACAGGTGTTGGGATGACACCTGCAGGTGGGTGTACAGGTGTTGGGATGACACCTGCAGGTGGGTGTACAGGTGTTGGGATGACACCTGCAGGTGGGTGTACAGGTGTTGGGATGACATTAAGACCTGCTATATTACCAACACTGGTGGCTGTCGAGTCATTACCTGCTTGAATTACTAGTGTAAATTTAGCCTCGTCTCAGAGCTGCAAAGTTTTCTTGAAGTTCTTGGTATATTACTGTTTACAAATTGCTCTGAAAGTAGATTTTTTTTGGGTGATTCGTCAGCTCTGTCATGCATTCGGAGGCCAACATGAGATGGAGTCCACATGAAAAGGACTCTGGTTACTATCATTAATAATGGTGTTGCATCCATGAGGAGACGATTTTTGTGCGGGTATATGGTTAATGAATGCAGGGGATGCATTCATGTTGGGAGAGAAGTGAGCAGGAGCACCACCGCTGTCGCGCCAGTAGCAGCGCGCGTCACCACGCTTGGCCAGCGATTAGGTTGACGTCTCAACGTCCTGCTCTCGTGGCCTCGTGACACATTTCCCCTTGTCGGAGGACTGGAAACCCTTACAGGCCTATCTACATCCCCTAAGCCAACGACTTGTGCGATACACAACGGTTGCTCAACTCCTAAATGTCATTTAACTGCGTGTTGTGTGTGTGTGTGTGTGTTGTCATCCCCGAGAGGATGGGGTCGTCTCGGGTCCCGTGCGGTCATAATAGTACTGACGTGGGGCTCCCGGGAGGGATGAGGTGGTGGTCTTGGAAGAGATGTGGTGGTGCTCTCGGTGCTTCCATGACTCATAATGCACATAATATCAAATACATCCAGACTGTAAACTCTTCCTCCTTAGTATTTAATAATTAATGTGCTAGCTGGGCCTGGCACAATCAGGGGGGGGGGAGGGTGCCACAAGCACAGCGGGGCAACATCGCGGCAAAAACTCCCCACGTCCGGTCGCGTATAAAGCAGACTTTGAAAACCCAACTAGCATTACGGGCTATTCATGCCCGTGCCACCTTTTGGATGGCTTAATCTTCATCAATCAAACAATCAATCCCAACTGGCAAAATCACAACACAACTGTAGGGATCACTGCAGACGGAGCGGGGGCCAGACTCCAACCCAGCGAGGAGGCAGGCATTACCCCTCTCCCCCTCCCTCCCCCCTTCTACACATTGCATGCATGGATGCACAAGCTTAAGCACGTTATGCATAAAGTAAGCATAATGAATATTCGTCTTTGTTTAGCTTTAGGACCTACGGGCAAAACTGTACGTATTAGTGACCTTGCAAGAATGTGCCACTTAACCACCATTGTGTGTACTCGCAACCCATTGTACCAAACATTGTACCTTATATATATATATATATATATATATATATATATATATATATATATATATATATATATATATATATATATATATATATATATATATATATAAAATAAAAATGAGAAAGAAAGCAGTAAAGCAATTTGAAAATGACATTGCAGTTAAAGTAAAGACTGCCCAAATTGTTTCACATCCACATAAAGAGAACACTTGAACACGTCTAGAGAAGAGTGACAAGGTGATTCCCTGGTGAGGAGAGATAGAGAAAATTTAATTGACATTGTCTAGAAAGGGAAGAGAAGTGATCTGGTGTCATAATTGGCATGTCCAAAGCGGAATATTATCAAGGGAGACATTAATCAAATATTAAAAATATCAACACAGTACATACTTATTTACGCATTAAACTTTCTTCCCACCTCTCTACGTGCCCCCTTCGTATTTACCAACATTTATTCACCAGCCAACGTATGTCACCTTCAACACCATTGTGTATCCATATACATGTGTATACAGTGGTGTGCCTACACGGCCCAGCACCCGGTGTGACCACACAACCTCCTGCAGGTTGGAGTGTCGTGAGTACCAACACCTCGTCTCACTGTCAGCGGTGCCAGCTTCAGTGTTCATAACGGTCGCTTGTACTGTGTCGTTCGCTGAAGGTGTTTGTCCTATCTGTGGCTCGCGCATGCTCAACATCCAGTGTATCTGTGATAATCCCAGTCTTGCGTGTGATTCGTGTAACATTAACTGTATGAATAAGACTTATTCATGTGCATGGCTAGTGTGTGTATATAGATGACGAGTGTGTTTACCGCGAGCAACGAGTGCAAGTTTTAACCTGCGAGTGTCGCTACAGGTCCGGTGTGAAGTTTGCCCACTACGGTACTTGCTTGGGCGACGTCAACTCCACCAGCTCCTGTCCCACTGACTGCTCCTCGGCGCCCTTGGACGGACCCATCTGCGGTTCTGACGGCAACGTCTACAACTGTACGTGCGACTTTCAGTACAGGACCTGTGGGTGAGTAGTGACTGGACCAGCCCATCACTGATGGTGGTGGTGGCAGTGTGGTTAGTATTAAGTTCGAGGTACGTCCCCGCCTCCCCTCTCCGACCCTTCCCGCACAACACCGTGGGAAAGTCAGCGTCTTTCACCTGGCAACACTCCTGTCTTCCTTTTCTCACACCAGCTGATGTCCAAGAGTCGGAAATGGGTTATATTGGGTCGTTATATTACATAGGCTCCTTTCAAATTGTTTACATTGTTTTAATCGATCTATATAAGTTTACATCGATCATTCGGTTCAAATTTTCATTATCACTCAGATTATGATTATTAATAATCTGTATTGAGCAGTACAGTCGGTTAACAATGAGCCGTCATCAGTCTGACCCAATGTTTTCCGCATATATACATAACATTATCTTCCACATAACAAGTGGAAGAAAACGCAAAATAAACAACATAAGTTTACAAGATCTCTCTCATTGGGTTAGTTTCTTTATGCATTTAGGAACTAAAAATATTTCAAATTAGACAGAATAGTATTAAAAGTGTGTTGATGTTTGAAGAGCAAGAAGTCACGCCGGCGAGATCCATTATACGTAGAACATTCATGTTTCTGAACTGGAGTGAAAACCTGTGAGCCGTGATATTGATGACACTGGTATGGCAATATTATTAACTTATCCAAGGTTAAATCATTTTCGTGCCTGACCTTGGCTTTGTGGTGAGAGCGATGCCTCGTGACCCGCACCAGGTACTGGACCCGGGCGTCCAGCACCCGCACGAGGTACTGGACCCGGGCGTCCAGCACCCGCACGAGGTACTGGACCCGGGCGTCCAGCACCCGCACGAGGTACTGGACCCGGGCGTCCAGCACCCGCACGAGGTACTGGACCCGGGCGTCCAGCACCCGCACGAGGTACTGGACCCGGGCGTCCAGCACCCGCACGAGGTACTGGACCCGGGCGTCCAGCACCCGCACGAGGTACTGGACCCGGGCGTCCAGCACCCGCACGAGGTACTGGACCCGGGCGTCCAGCACCCGCACCAGGTACTGGACCCGGGCGTCCAGCACCCGCACCAGGTACTGGACCCGGGCGTCCAGCACCCGCACCAGGTACTGGACCCGGGCGTCCAGCACCCGCACCAGGTACTGGACCCGGGCGTCCAGCACCCGCACCAGGTACTGGACCCGGGCGTCCAGCACCCGCACCAGGTACTGGACCCGGGCGTCCAGCACCCGCACCAGGTACTGGACCCGGGCGTCCAGCACCCGCACCAGGTACTGGACCCGGGCGTCCAGCACCCGCACCAGGTACTGGACCCGGGCGTCCAGCACCCGCACCAGGTACTGGACCCGGGCGTCCAGCACCCGCACCAGGTACTGGACCCGGACTTGCACCAGGTACTGGACCCGGGCGTCCAGCACCCGCACCAGGTACTGGACCCGGGCGTCCAGCACCCGCACCAGGTACTGGACCCGGGCGTCCAGCACCCGCACCAGGTACTGGACCCGGGCGTCCAGCACCCGCACCAGGTACTGGACCCGGGCGTCCAGCACCCGCACCAGGTACTGGACCCGGGCGTCCAGCACCCGCACCAGGTACTGGACCCGGGCGTCCAGCACCCGCACCAGGTACTGGACCCGGGCGTCCAGCACCCGCACCAGGTACTGGACCCGGGCGTCCAGCACCCGCACCAGGTACTGGACCCGGGCGTCCAGCACCCGCACCAGGTACTGGACCCGGGCGTCCAGCACCCGCACCAGGTACTGGACCCGGGCGTCCAGCACCCGCACCAGGTACTGGACCCGGGCGTCCAGCACCCGCACCAGGTACTGGACCCGGGCGTCCAGCACCCGCACCAGGTACTGGACCCGGGCGTCCAGCACCCGCACCAGGTACTGGACCCGGGTGGTACTCGACTCACAATCGGGGATCCCGGGTTCGATTCCTGAGCTGGACGAAACGTTTGGGCATGTTTCTTTACAGCTTATGCCTCTGTTTATTTAAAAGTCGACATGTACCCAAGCAACTGTTTCCCTTAGTCTGGGACAGCAACGTAATGTAAAGCCAAAACTGACCTTTCCCGGGATGCAAACCACAACAGGTGTCAAACTCCCGAGTACCTATTTACTGCTAGGTGAACAGAGGAATCGGGTGGAAGGAAACGTTACTCAAACGCTTCTGTTCTGCAGCAGGAACTGAACCCAGGACCTCTTGACAGTAACCCGACTGCGCTGGCAACTAGGTTAGTCACCCCATGACTGCCTACCTCTCACCCCTGACAGGGACCTCTGCTGTGTTCTAACGTGCCGACCTCACGACCGCCTTTCGTCCAATGCAACTCCTATTTATATCTCTCAAATTATTCAGTGTTTGCGTCTAACCTGCATTTGTTATTTTGCGAGGCCCTGCTTGGATTAAATTAAAGCTGCTGCTTCCTTTAAAAAGAAGTGGCGGCTTGAGGTGGCACTTGGCAGGTCGCTGATGAACAAGAGTGGACCATGTATGGATAATGACAGTTTGGTTATTGTCAGTGTAGATGACTTTTTGCTCATAAAGTTTTAAATCGGTTCCTTTCAATACATCTATCAACTGACTGTTGATATACATATACTTAAGGGAATTGGTATAATTGCCAGAAAGATAGTCATTTTGCATTAATGTTTGTTATGTTATTTGTTTCGATCTTACTCATATTAATGAGAAGAATGTATTGTCAGGGTGCCAGCAGGCTGTGATAGGTGCTATCATTACTCTACAGTGCAGTCGTTTACTTATACTCATATCTTTAAACAAAGATATGAGAGATGATTTTCCAAGTATCTTTATTACAAAATAATAAACACGGTAACTCCAGTAACATTAGACAGAACACACAACAATGGTAAAGTTGTACAACGGCGGTCAATACCGCTACCTTTCCACAGTATTCTTGCCATCCCAAAGTATCAGAGACCTCTACACAGACATCCCACAGTGCCCTCAGATCCAAGGCACCCGAGCCCTTCCACATCCCTGCCTCTCCCACAGCAATGTCGACTCTAATGTTTCTTACTCTGGGTTGGTGGCAGGCAGAGGGTGGCGCGGACGTCGTACAAGCACTGCCAGACTACCAAACACTGCCAAGATGTGTGTTTCTATTCCTTCAAGGCTGTGTGCGGCTCCGACGGACGTATCTACAACAACAAGTGTCAGTTGAGGACAAGGAACTGTGGGTGAGTGTAGAAACATACCCATCTTCCTCATTCCTGATCTACCCTTCATAAATGTAGACATATCTACCAAGATGATTAGCAGTCACTAGTACCAACATTTGCAGTTACTGGTACCAACAACATTTTCCATTCGCCACGACTAACATGAAACAAAGAAAACTAGCAACTTTCACCTCCTCTTTCCCCTCAACCCATTCCAGTTGTTTATAACTTATACTGAAGTTCCTTCCGACATCTGACTTATTTGTATCTAGTTTATCGTTTTTACTTTTTTTTTTATAGATTCTTCGGAAGGTCTGTTATCATCTCTTCCTTGGTGTAACCTAGTAGCTTTTATCAGTACTGTACTTGTTTACCAAAATACAATAAAATTTATCTTACCTCCGTATCCTTAAACTGTACATACAAAATTGATGGTAAAACGTCCATTAGATATTCCATACACAGACACGGCTGAGTGTGGTGCACATGTAGGCCTACTAATGGATAAATATTACGAGAGGCGCGTGCACAGCAGTATAGTAGCATGTGAGTACTTGCCTAGTTGTGTTCATAGGTTGAGCAAAAGCTCTCTAGCCCACCTTCCATCTCGTGGTCACTTACTGCAACTATTATACTTTTCATTCTTTGTGGTTCTCGTGGTGGGTGCGTGTATGTGTGGAGTGCAAGTGGTTCAGGCAATGTGTTCTCATAATATTTAAGTATGATCGGTCCGCCAGACGTCACATCTACCAGCTGCCGATGGGTGACTGCCGCCCCCAGGAGAGGAAAACCGGAGGGTGCCCGGTGTCGTGCGACGGGGAGAAGTTGGCGCCCGTCTGCGGCTCCAACGGCAACATCTATGACAACGAGTGTGACATGCGTCGCCTCACATGTGGGTGAGTCCTCTCCACCTTCTTGTGTTTGTTACCTTCCCTGTTTTATTGTGTTCTCTACATCCCTCACCCCACCGTGTTCTCTACATCCCTCACCCCACTGTGTTCTCTACGTCCCTCACCCCACCGTGTTCTCTACATCCCTCACCCCACCGTGTTCTCTACATCCCTCACCCCACCGTGTTCTCTACATCCCTCACCCCACCGTGTTCTCTACATCCCTCACCCCACCGTGTTCTCTACGTCCCTCACCCCACCGTGTTCTCTACATCCCTCACCCCACCGTGTTCTCTACATCCCTCACCCCACCGTGTTCTCTACGTCCCTCACCCCACCGTGTTCTCTACATCCCTCACCCCACCGTGTTCTCTACATCCCTCACCCCACCGTGTTCTCTACATCCCTCACCCCACCGTGTTCTCTACATCCCTCACCCCACTGTGTTCTCTACATCCCTCACCCCACCGTGTTCTCTACATCCCTCACCCCACTGTGTTCTCTACATCCCTCACCCCACCGTGTTCTCTACATCCCTCACCCCACCGTGTTCTCTACATCCCTCACCCCCACCGTGTTCTCTACATCCCTCACCCCCACCGTGTTCTCTACGTCCCTCACCCCCACCGTGTTCTCTACGTCCCTCACCCCCACCGTGTTCTCTACGTCCCTCACCCCACCGTGTTCTCTACGTCCCCTCACCCCACCGTGTTCTCTACGTCCCCTCACCCCACCGTGTTCTCTACATCCCTCACCCCACCGTGTTCTCTACATCCCTCACCCCACCGTGTTCTCTACATCCCTCACCCCACCGTGTTCTCTACATCCCTCACCCCACCGTGTTCTCTACATCCCTCACCCCACTGTGTTCTCTACATCCCTCACCCCCACTGTGTTCTCTACGTCCCTCACCCCCACCGTGTTCTCTACGTCCCTCACCCCACCGTGTTCTCTACATCCCTCACCCCACCGTGTTCTCTACATCCCTCACCCCCACCGTGTTCTCTACATCCCTCACCCCACTGTGTTCTCTACGTCCCTCACCCCCACCGTGTTCTCTACGTCCCTCACCCCACTGTGTTCTCTACATCCCTCACCCCACTGTGTTCTCTACATCCCTCACCCCACTGTGTTCTCTACATCCCTCACCCCCACCGTGTTCTCTACGTCCCTCACCCCACCGTGTTCTCTACGTCCCTCACCCCACTGTGTTCTCTACATCCCTCACCGTGTTCTCTACATCCCTCACCCCCACTGTGTTCTCTACATCCCTCTCCCCACTGCCTCATAGAGCTTCTTGCTAGAGTGCTACAGTCATATCTCACCCTTAATATACGAAAGTACTTAAGGAAATTCCTGTTTCAATTTTCCTCCGTGGTCTGACACTGTCATATATATATATTCTATACACACAGTAATATTATAAATATACAGTATAATTGCAATATATCTGAAATAAAACAAAGTCTAAAGAATAGTAAATTTAGCTTGTTATTAGTCAGATATTTGTATATTATAATAGGGGAAATTATTCCCATCTTCTAGTCAACCAAGTGTCATCGACAGGTCACGAGGTGCCGGTGCTGTGTACGAGGTGGACATGGCTAAGTGCCTCAAGAGGAATGTAAAGTGTGCCAAGATGACATGCCCTCCCAATGTTGATGATCCTGTTTGTGGCACTGATAGCACCACCTATGACAACTACTGCCTTCTACACATTGCCAACTGCAAGTAGGTTCTTTGGTGTGCCTATATGTAGGTTCTTATGTGTGCCTCGCTACCCCTGTGTAGCAGGTCCTCCCAACACAGGTGCCTGTATAATCAGGAAAGCTAAAATTGAATGCCTACATTGTGACACTTGCTGTTACAATGCCACATTCATACAGACTGGTGAATGTTTTGCATGATTGTCATTTCAGTGATCAGCTGCAGTGGAGAGTATATCTAGAGTGGGTTATGGGAGTTCTTCTACTCCCCATGTCAAGCATAGGGGTAAGGCTTGACTTGTGATAACTTGGTCCACCAGGATGTTGATTGGAGTGGCCTATTAAGAGTAAGATATTGAGTAGAAGGGTCTAAAATAAGGGAACTAAATATGAGGAAACATAAGTGCAATGAGTATGAATGCTTCCCTCACCAACTGTGAGGGAAGAACTTGAATGCTGCATGTTATGTACATTACCAACAATGTGACGTGACCACTTTCAGGAAAGGTGTAGAGTTAGCTCATCATGGTAGATGCTTCAGCAATGACGAAGAGGACTGCCCCAAGGAGTGCCCAACCTCCAAGACAGAAGAGTACCCTATCTGTGGCTCAGATGGCAATGCCTACTCCTCATACTGTGAAATGCGAAGAAGGACTTGCAAACAAAGGTAAGAAATCTTCTGCCGTAGTTCTTAGAGGTCATCCCTTTCTATATACAACTACAGGGAAGGAATATAACAAGTGTTTTTTCAAGTATTTACAAGATTCTGACCATGGGTAATAGGCAAATGAACTTTTTGATGCAGATGTTATGAATGAATATGGAATAAATGTGTTGCTAAGGGAAGGTGTTATTAGTATGGTGTTGCAGCACAAAGCGAGTACTGTCGTAGGCAATTATATACCTGTCTTGGTTATCTGTTAGACAGGTTACACTGGCACTCGTGCCTACTCTTATGATGTGGTAAATGTTACTATTTAATTAATGTCATTTCTGCAATTCACAGTTCTTACTCTTAACTTGCCATATTCCCATGCATATCATTTTCTGCATCACTCTCTCTACTATATACACACTATGCCAATCTAAACACTGGTGTCAATACTATTTTCTACACCACATTCTGTACTGTTTATGTATTACATTCTTGTCTACTTACTGCACCATGGACTAACCATCTTCCCCGTGTGTGCAGAGTGGTACCCGTGGCACTCCATCACTGCAAGGCCACCAAGGACTGCTTCATGTCCTGCGAGAGTAGTGATGATGTTGCTGTCTGTGCCTCTGACAAGAAGATATACCGCAATGAATGTGAAATGAAGACCAGGAACTGTGGGTGAGTGAGTGCGAGTAGTGGATGATCCCAAACTTTTGTGGCAAAATATGTCTTGCTTGTAATTTGGGATGTTGATGTTAGATATTGGAAATACCTTCAAAATATTTAAAGGTCAGGTCATTTGTCCATACACGATAACAACAAATGAAGAGCAAAAAGCTGTCACCCAAAGTACCAAGCTTGCCCTGGTACTTTTTCTCATCTTCGTATCAGACATAGACAAGAATACAAAGTATAGTACACTAAATCATCCTTTGTAGATGACACTAGGATTTTCATGAGAGCAGACAAAATAGAGTACACGGAAAACCTCCAAACTGTTGCAAGTCAAAGCTTTCAATTAGCAACAGAACATAACATGATGTTTAATGAAAATAAGTCACAGCTACTACTATATGGAAAAAAAAAATATAAAAATGGAAACCTCATACAAAATGCAGTCAAATAACACTGTTGAAAGAAATATCAATATTAATGATGTGGGAGTAATCATGTTGGAAGACCAGCAGAAAATTGCTGTCACAACTGCAAGAAACATTACAGGTTGGATAACAAGAACCTTTCAAACCAGAGATGCAAGACCAGTGATACTTTCAGGACACTAGTGGAATATTGTTGCACACTAACAGCCTCAATTTATGCTGGAGAAGTTGCAGACCTGACAAATGTGCAGAGGTCTTTACTGTCCAAATCTACTCAATAAAACATCTAAATTATTTGGACCACTTAAAATTTTTTAACATGTATTCTCTACAGTACAAGATGCAAGAGAGATGCATAATAATTTACACTTAGAAAATATTAGGGGGGGGGGGGGATGGTTCAAAATCTGCACACGGAAATAACTCCTCATGAGACCAATAGGCATGTTAGCAAGTCCAATAGCCCCATTGAAAAGCAGAGGTGCAGTAGACATGCTGTGAGACAAATCTATCAGCGTTCAGGGCTCGTTACCTTTCAAAACTCCCCATTTATGAAGCCTAACTAGCTGACCTCTCAATGTTCAAGAGAACTTGATATATACCTCCAAATGATGCCTGATCAACCAGATTGTGATTCATACATCAAGCTGCAAGCAGTTGCATCCAACAGCCTGGTTGATCAAATGACCAACCAGGAGACCTGGGCAGAGACCAGGCCGTAGCAACATGAATTCCGAGAACATACAGCAGGTAGACAACAGGCAGGAAGTACTGCAGATGCAAGATGGATCTGCAATACTTCCTATTGCAGGTAGACAATAGGCAGAACCTATGAGAAGCAGTGGTCTTGTAATCACAGAATACTGTATCTGCATGACTTAACCTTCTATGAGAAAATACAAGAAAAATTTATTGAAGAAGGAACCCAACAGTCCTGGAGTCTATGTTAGTTCAGTCAGCTGCAATGGCCATCTAGGCTTGAAAATCAAAAGCAGCAATTGCTTGATTTTCACAATGTTCTCAAATATTCACCCAATCAGAATGTTCTCCATTTTTTGGCTATCCTGAGTCATTTGCAGACCAGATAGCAAGAAAACATTGCACAAGGTGGTTTCTTTAAATAGTGAACAATATCGTAGTGATGGTTAAATACTTCTGAATCCTTGTTTCATGAATCTGTTCACCTGTATGGCAAGAAATACCGTGTCTGAACTCCTGTAGTTTGTGTTACAGTACAAAAATTTGCAGTCACAGAGTTCAAACAACCCTGACCTTGTGAATTTTGTGAATTTTTAAAAAATTACTAAACTGAATCCAATTCAACATCGAGAATCTTAACACTTTCCTGAAAGAGCTGAGAACATTCCAATTATCAAAACATGATTGACAGTTGGAATGATCTCTAGCCTGAGGTCAGTAATCTGCTATACTGTAATAAGATTATTAGTGGGATAATTTGGTACATTAACGTTAAAGCTAGTCTTTAAATATAAAAAAAAAAAAATTTAAATGATCAATCTTTCTGCTGTATTCCCTCCTGTAGGAAGCATGTGTATCCTGTGCCCATGGATAGGTGCCTCTCTGGATTCACCTTCTTCAGCTGCCGGAGAATGTGCTCTGCCACGTATGACCCTGTATGTGGCACTGACGGCAAGACCTACAGCAACGACTGCTTCCTCCAGATGGAGAACTGTCATTCCCGCAGCCTGGGTCGCAGCCTGGTCACCCGCATCTACCATGGCAAATGTGGCCAGCCCATCCCGCAAGCCAAGCTCTATATGTTTAGATAAATCTTTTAGTTTCTCTCGAGAGTTTTAGATCGGCTAAAAAGATTCATATTTTGCTGGCTTTTTGTAGTTCTTTTAAGACCGCTGTGTGTCTGGTTTATTTCCTTCCAGCACTGTGTATCTGAGGAGAGACCTCATGCAAAGCCCTTGAACTATGTAACAGAATTAGACATAACGAATCCATCTGTAAAAAAACATGAAACTAGTTTGCCCAAGAGAAATGTATACAATTTGGTCTAAGATCCTAATAAAATGAAAGAAGCTTAGCGAGAATACAAACTTACGCTTTATATAAATTATGAATGCAATAAATTGGTATAATAGATATTATGTAGTATAGTACATCATTTTCATGCTATTGCAAGTAGACACGCATGCGCATGCACCCACAGGAGGCTATTGCAACTGTTACTTTAGTAGAGTCCTTTCTGTAGGTTGATGCTGAGCTTAGTATTTAAGTAACCTCCCTTATTAATCATTAAGAATTATGCTTAAGATGTTTATTACTACAAAACAGACAAAGAATATATAAACATATCATACATGCCAGGAATTGAATATCATTTGTAAATAATAATCTAGAAACTGACAGTATTACACGAGGGAAGATAATTCTTGTTAACTAATGATATAAGGATTAAGTTTAATAAACCTAAACATCACACATGAAAGCTTTCTTAACATTACAAAAATATATCAGCACATGGACACATACATGCAACAACACTTCCACATTAAACTTTGTGGTTATTTAAGCAAGCAGGTTAATAAATGGAACAGACTAAAATATACAGTACATTACAGGGTACTTCAATATATATTAGGGGAACCATCATTACACAATTTACCACAATGTGTGGCTACATTGGGCAGTGCACGACTTCAGTACAGATCAACACTACTTGACACGAATATGAATTGGCACTGCTTAAGACATTAGCTGACAACACTTGACTATAGATCAACACAACAAGACTTGTACATAATGTATAATTGTCAGATTAACACATATAGGTCAACAGTGAATGAATATCTACTTTATACAGCAAATAAATACGTTGGTTATATTTGTTGCTCAAACAGGCCATGGCATAGATATAGTGCACGACTATATCAAGCCAGCTGCCTTTGGCTTGAGACATAGGTCAATAACTCTTAATCTGGACATGGGTAGACTGTACTTGATATGAAAAACAGACATTACTTGACATGTGAAGACAGGCAATACTTGATGTGTGAAGACAGTCGTTAAACAAGATACAAAAGACAAAGACTACTAACACTTCCCAAGGCTATGGTTATATTGCTCTACCTGCAGTTGCCACGATCTTCATTCTTAGTAACTACCAAAAACAAAAGACATTCATGACATTTTAATTCCAGTTCAGTAGTTACCAAGTTATAAATCGTTAACATCTATAAGGTTAACACAGCTGCCAATTTGGCCTCATGCCTGCTTATATGCTCATGCGTGTTTGACCTAAGGTGCATAGTATGGGGAGGGAAATAGTTTAATTTCTTATGAGTATTGTCTTCTTTGCTAGTGGTCAGGTTGTAGGCATGTATATACACATGCCATAAGCAAACAATTTACTCTAGTTCATGACCATTGCTGCTCTTGTCAGCTTTAGAATTTCAGTGTTTCATACATCTTAAGCTGAGCTATGAAGTTTTCATATCAGTGAAGCCAACTAGATCTTAATTGTAGGAAATTCTTCCTATCATAACTATTTATGGTTGACAAATTTTCTCCACATAAAGAGGACATAACTTTCTGCTACAAAGTTTCCTGCTAATGCCACAGTCCAAGACAAGAGACTTAATGCTTACTTTGTATTAAAAAAATGGTATTACTTTTCATGAATTGAATATTCTATGCAGAGAGTCCTAGTGCATCTCGCCAAGGACTAGCCAAGGACCAGGGACAGGCATCTTCCAAGAACACTAAACCTGCTCTGTGATTATCTTTCAATGATTTCTTGCTCTGAAAACATGGTGAAATGCTTCAATTTATTTTTTTTATTTTCGGCTATCAAAATTATTTCTAAATATATTTAACTCGCTTCATCATCATATCTTACATTAAGCTTTTGTACAGCGCATTGTTATTTACTGTGTAAGCTGAGGTAATTTTTGGCAAGAGCCTGATCTTGAATTCTTCATTGGCCAGTTGATGGCATTTTTTAAATAAATTTGCCTCGTTATATTTACGATAAAGCAATGCTTGTGTAGAAAGCTTTATACTAACCTCACTGCAAGCTGATGTGCTGTAAAAATTTATCCATAACTCTCATCATGGGACAAATAGTTTCCTTGATGAGGTAAGGAAGGAATTTTTTGTGCAGGGACAGAGATAAATGAAGAAGAGTGAGCGAAAGATCAGAACTGTGCTGCATTAAGTGTTTGCTTGTCCTGCCAGGTCCTTGATGGAGGCAGACATTGATATCTCCACCATCAACATGTCATCTATAAATAGATCTTTATAACTTTTTTTTTACACATTAAAAATATGCATAAAATATTTTTTGGAATGTAGTTGCACAATTCTGTTATGTATTAATTAAGGAGATAAGATTTTATGATATACAGTATTTACAACTCGACAATTTATAGGTGTAGTGTGCAAGCAAACATTTTGTGCTAACTTCTGGTGCTGCGGTATCTGCTTGCACCACTATTATGGTTCCTGTGTTTAATCAGTTTTTTCTTGTGTTCTACAAATGCTAAGTTATAATTTTTTTTTTATGTTGAGAAACCTCTCATAGTAGGTTGTATTTATTGGGATATTTATTATATATTTATTGTAAACTTAGCCGTGTGTGTGAAGGCGTACCCATGGGCGCGTTCAGTGGGGCCAATACCCATGAGAAAGCATTCCCTGTGATAAATTCTTTTGTCTCATACAGCGACTTGTCCTGTAAGTACTGTGCCTCCTAGAGGGCTACAGGTCCTGCTCACATGTATAACTACTGCATACTTCATGTTATGTACATGTGTTGTAGTAATAAGGTGGTGTATACAAATGCAAATCATCAGTTTAAAGAATCTAATTAAAATCTAGTGACTGTAGGAACAGTAATTTTACTGTACTGATGGGTTGATGCAATAAACTTGTGCTTCTCCGTGGGAGTACGTACACGAGACAGCAGTAATGTGCCTTGCTATTTTTATACAATGGTGTAGCGAGCATTTGTGCCTTATATTTGTGCAGTAAAAACTAGTACAGACAACTCTTTCATTACCCTCGTTTTCATGTAATCTGCAGTTAATATTTATGGGAGAATGGTGGTCTCTGCTCAACTGGACCCTGATTACAAGTGCATATGAAGTCCCATGCATTGTGCATAGATTACCCTTACCCCAGACCATAAATACTGTACCTTGAATCTGGGGTCCTTGGATCGGTAGTTTAATTTGCAGTTCAGACTTGGTGTGTGAGGTGACATACGCCATCTGTTTATACTGGCAGATGGCAGCTTATGAAACTCGTCTGTATAATCATGGCCGGATTCCACCACCATTACTCGAGCTATAGTGTTGCAGGCAGTGTGAAAAGTTCTGTCCCTGACATTCCCTTCCCAATGTTCAACCTGTCCTCGGGATATCATAGCAATTATGTCACAATGCTCATAGTTCCTATTCTGCTAATGATTACAGTTTCCCTGTTGTAGATTTACAGTTATTAGATCTTAATAAGCACCAACCCTTTCTCACATACCATTAGTACCCGTCCCATTGCCATAGACACCAGAATAGTCCGTTTGATCAATTTTGAACGATAATGTATTGTAATTTTCCATTCCTGCTTCTGGTGTCCTCACCTAGTTGCGCTTATGGGGATTGAGCTCTGGCTCTTTGGTCCTGCCTCTCAACTGGTGTACAGATTCCCGGGCCTACTAGGCTTTATCATATCTGCATTTGAAATTGTGCATGAAGTCTGCCTCCACCACTTTACTTATCTTATCGAAATATGATAGAAACAAGTCAGTCCAAGATCACATTCAACAGTCCATGCATTTGAACTATATGGAAAACCAAGCCTTGAGAACATGCTCCTGCCAAAGACAAACCACCCAATGGCCTTGACTTTGATAGCCACAAAACCACCTTAATGGCCATTATGTGCACTGGACTCAAACCAAAAAGAAACATTTCACTGTATATAATGCTCTATTTCTAGTTAGGCACCTTTGCTTCCCAAACCTATTACCTTAAGAGATTACCTGACATTTTAACTGCACAAATGACAAAATTTAAATGAAGTAAATTGAAGATGGGACATACCTTTGACAGAAATCCTAACGAGAATTTGGTGGTGGAGTGCCAAACCCCGGTTGGTGAGAGTCGGGCAGCCCCACATGAAGCTGTGTTGCTGCAGGTGGTGGTAGTCTTGTAGGTAATGGGTTCCAACAAATGATTCAACTGCTAGAATCCCCAATTCATAATATTGGCTGTGGAGATTGAAGAGAGTTGCAAGAGCAGTGTATTTATGGATATCAAGAGCCCTTGGAGGATACAGCTGACTGGCAAAGTGTGACAACTCTTGATAATCCAAGACATGTTCCTTTGAGCAATGTAACATACAGTTGAGGTAATACAAACCCATCTATACCAAATGTCTAGACTGAGGTTTACTTCTCACATTCCTGGGGTGCAACTATACTTACTGTTCCAGAACTGATGTGTTTGAATTCAGGGGATTCTTCTATTCATCTTGGGCAAGTTAGATAGACAATACCTCTTGATTGCTCTTCAATTAATTACTTGTAATAGCAAGTATTGTTTAATTGAAGCAGTGATTCCCAAATTTTTGTGGATGTCTGCAGCCCAGTGCTCCCTACTCCATTTTGTACCCCTCAATGATATTATCTTCTGGTTAGAAAAACAATTATAGTGATCAATTCTGTACTCCCGAGAACCAGTCAAATCAAATAAATTTTAGTCTATCGGAAATTGAATGAAATCCCAAGCTTAACAGACTGGTTAAGCACTGCTTCTACCTTGGTGCCCCTTGGGAAGAGTACAGCCCACCATGGGAATCACTGATTCAACCCATTCATATTTTAACTTTCCATTTATTGTTACACATTTATTGTACTGCAGCTCACATGTGCATGCAAGCTGAACCAAAATGAACTTTGGCTCATTTATCAAGCTATAAAACAAATTGGTTGTACCCTTATTTAATAATACTAATATTAAAATGGGATTCTTTCTTTCTAGATGAAAGCTTCTCCACTCAATGAAAATGGGAAATGAGGTTTGATTAGGAAATTACCATATACTGTATACTTATACATTATAATACACTGCTCTAACACTAACTTTCCTTCAGTTGTACTGCAAGTATTAAGTATGAAATAAAGGGTTTTAGGGAACAGATAAAAAGTTTTACTACTGGCATCCGAGATACCTTAAAAAAATTAAATTTTAAAATGAAAATGTAACATTCTTACCTTAAAAGCAAACCTTAGAGTAAATTGTAGACAAAGAAAATCCACCCATTAGTTCACTGGCTACACTGAATAAATTTAGCTTAATTAAAATATCAGAGACAACCAAAATTATGTTCATGGCAGTTCTCTCATTCACTTTATGTAGATGAGGTAAACAAAACTCCTGGAGGAACTGGATGTAGCAAAATCCCTTCAGAGGTTTGCAGCTAGATTAGTACAGTACCAGAATTGAGAGGACTCTGCCTCAGGACAGGTTGAGAGAACCCACCCCTAATAACTTTAGAGAAGAGAAGAAACAGTGTGATAATTACATCCAAGATTTTGAGGGGAATAAAGTGGATAAAGGAAGCCTATTTAAATTAAGAGATAAGACAAGGGAACATCAGTGGAAGCTGCACGTGCAACTGTTGAATATCTGTAGAGAAGTTGCCGTTCCCTGTACAGGTGGTCGACAAATGGCATACAGTACATTGAAGGAAGAGGTTGTTGCGCAACATTAAGTGATTCTCACTCGAGAACTGTAAAGTTCGTGGACAACATCCGTCTCATCAACGTTAACGTTAGATTAACCTTTGCTTTATTGAATATCTCGCCTGTTGGATGGATTCCTGATGCTCGACATTTTAGATGCTAAACAAAATTATAAACAATACTGTTGTAGTGTTTTACTGAAAGTAACATAACTCTCAAGCCACTTTATCTGATGGAATATAATTACATGTATGAGCATATATTTTTTATTACAAAAACCCTTTCAGCTAACATCTACAACAACTGCTGCAGCAGATTTAGCTGACGAAGATGGGTGTAGAGCTTTATGCACATCACTATTACACACAGATGATGTTGCTGTTAACTGTTGAATACTGGTTGTGGTTGGAGCTCTTTCTGGATTTGATGCCGTGAGGAAGATTTGAATAGCACCCATCAGTGAAACGTGTTCACGACTTAGACGCACTTCCGCAGCAACCTTAACCGAGAGAAAATATACTGGTAGTTTATATTTCAGAGCAACAATTCCAAAATTAATCAGTTTCTATTTAAGGGTGAGGATAGACAACCTATATCAAGAAAATAATGGTTAAAAACAAACTTTTCCTCAAAGAATAAATACAGATCTGATTATAAAAAGTGGGAGGTCAAGAAAAATAGGGGCTGGTTATGAGAATGCAATTCCCAAAACCCGTGCAATCAAATACATAATAACTAATTTTAACCATTTCACTGATTACGGCAAGTGTGTTTTCATGGCAATTATATATTTCTTGCATTAATAATATATTCGCCAACAGGAGTCCTCATTATCAAGACGTACTCCCGCTAGCTATGCACGGTGTGTATAGAATTTTCTCTGGGTTATTGATAATCATGTGTGTGTTACTACACCCTAAGAAGTCATCTTCCCAGATAAGAATACCATTTTACTAACACAATTCAGATCGTACAGCATATTTATTTAAATAAATTATTTATTAATTATAACTGAGTATATTCCTCTGGGAGTAGGTTTGTGGTTGTCAGTACTTTCATGTTGTAAAGTGTGATTACATGTTTGTCTATAGTCCAAGTAGCTTTAGGATTGAATTCAGAGCAGTAAATCAACATTTAATTTCCACAATTTAGCCAGATTAACTGTAAGATCTGAATTTATAACCTAACATAATAATAAACCCCCACTGTGGGAATTGTGTGGAAAGTTACCATGTTATACAGTCTGCTAAAAATTAATATCAATTAAATATACAGTCCAATTGCATTTAAATGGAAATAAATAATAAACCAAATAACCCCACACCATATTACATAGCAAAAGCATACCGTAGCAACAGCCTACTTGAGTACCACACCATTGGGACATACTGTATTACACATCAAATACAATACCTAACTTTACACAACAGTAACCCAATAAGCTCAAGTGTTTGGCAACTATACTTTACTGCCTCACCTTTTTACCTCTTACTAACTACTATTTTTTGACTCCTATCTTCCTATTCTGTGTCAGGGCTGCGAGTACCATGCTATCATTCATTCTTTTCTTAACTACCATACAAATATTCCTTCCTTTCATTATAGCATTAACCTCCTCTTACCCCTATTTTTTTTTTGCTTTGCAGTTCCTCTACTACCTCTACTCAACTATTTTCTTATGTTGAACCTTACCACTGACTTTCTTGGGACCCATGGCAAGATACTGTATATAATTACTCTTATGTTCAAATACCCAAAAATTGGAAAAACACTGAAATTCTTTACAAGAAATTCAGTCACAATTGTCACTCGGCGGGAGGCACTGGTAAACTGAAGCGCGGTCTCCCGTGCCACCATGCACTAGGTCGGCCATACACATAGCGACAAACTACGTTACCCGAGGCAAAATTCATAACCCGATTCGGATTTTACGGAGAAATTGGACCCGTAACTCGAAAAGTTCATAAAGAGAGCATTCATAAGCATGCCCTGTGACACCTCATGCGCCACTAAGGTGTCACTGTATACCGTTCTTAAAACTTACTACCCTTACAGTAACATTTACCCCATTTTTAGCCATACCACTCCATTACCTTCTCCCATTCACCCTAACCTTACTTTCTACCACACTAACCTCTAACTTGCTTCTCTTGTATCATTATTCACTCGTTCATAATCTCCTGCAATGCTTCCTTGCTCTCAGTGTAACACAGCACGCCTGCATACAGATATGTCAATAACAACTTATCCCCACTACAACGCGCTTCCACTCCATATGTTCTTCACTAAAACTCCAAAGAACTTACCTCATCCTTCAACCGTGTGAACTGCCTGACTAGAGCTGGATTCTCATCCAGTGTATCCCCATACACATCTGCAACAATAACTACAATTAAACAGTTGAAAACATTACAATAATGATTGTAACAAGATCAAGGAATTAGATTCAGAGATAATTGTATTTAATTAACTACTGTATCTATAACATAACTTGTTCTCTCTGGGAACTTCATTTCTCAGAGATCAGCTTCATGAAGAATAGCTTTCAAACAGAGAGAGAGAGACAGTACAAATCACTGTACAGTATATAAAAAAATAACAGATTCTCACAAAAAACAAGTCAAGAATCGTGCCTAAATTTTAATAACTCTGGAATGACTACGTGATATATCTGACAAAGACCTCTACATGTTTGTTTGGCTATCAAAGTGCAGCAGTCATCACTTGCTTGCAATGAAAAGCAACAAAAGAATCCTTAAAATATAGAAAGACAAATGTACAGGGGGGAAAACTAAGGTAGGGAATGGGAATGATATTTATTATGTCAATATGTAGATGGACAAAATGGAATAGAAGAAGTAGTGGTGGTATAGTAGTGTAAATGTTGCCAAGGTAAGACACCACCAATGCAGGCAGTTGGTATGCCCTTTTATTTATAATGAGTATCAAGCTTTCTCACTTTAAGTGATGGGGGTCATTTGTTCATTAAAAAGTATGCAAGAGCTAAATTTTATTAGAGGACCATGACAAAGCAAAACCCTACCCTTTTTATATTAAAGCTTTAAATACAGTCTTAAAAAATAAAGTCAGGCACTGTTCGGTAGTGACTATTATGATCTGATAATATTCAAGGGAGTATGTTGGATTTGGCATGTGTTGGTTCCATTTTCAATTGAGTTAAGAGATACTGGGTCAGGCTAGGTTTGGTGCCCGACTGTCTTGACAACAGTTATTACCCAAAATACACTTTTTTAGGCGTGTAGCTTTGTCCAAAAGTTAACATCCATATACCAGCAAGAAAACAAACAAACAAACGAACGAACGACAGAGAGAGAGAGAGAGAGAAACATAATACAGTATTCATTTTAACACTATTATTTAACAAGTCTATTTCAATATGTTATTGAAATAGACTTGAAGTTCCTGACATTTTTGTGCTTTCATTCTAAGCATTGGTGACCATCCAGATACTGTCACTATAAACCATTTAAATTCCTTGTATTGCCGATACTCCCGTATAAAACTGCAGCATAATAACCTCAAAATTAAAGATGTATCATTTTTTTTTTAATATAAACAAGATTTCTCAAATCAACTTGATTTACAGAACGACCAACAAAATTGTATACATTACAAAGTATGCTAAGCCTAAGGCCTACCTATCAAACAAAACTCACATCCATGACATGTAATTAATTACATAAATGTAACAATACTCACCAATAACGACATTGACCACATCTATGAGGACTTGTTTATATCCAGGGTGACGAATGTACTTTATCAAGAAGTTGAGTAGCGGTAACAATGTCTTGACTTCTCTACCAGCTACAGCAGTCCTGATTCCTCCCCGTCTGTTAAGAAGAAGCGAGAGGCTATGCTGGTCAATGAGTCAAGATTTATACATGTACACAAAGTTCTTCTGAAGTGCAAAGTGTATTTTTTATGAATGCTTCTGCAACATAAAATGTTCCATATTACTGATGAAATATATCTTCACTGAATTAATAAAATTAATCAAAACCACATAAAACAATTACTGTAGTTAATCAGATAAGAGAGAACAAATGAAACAGAATGATTTGGAAATAATTCAAGGAAATTGTTAGGAAAACATTTACAACAACAACAAAGAGAAGCAAAAAAATTTAAAATATGCACCAAATTCAGATAACAAAATTTATAACGCAAAACGTTTAGTGTTTATGAAAAATCCATCCTAATAAGATTGTAGAACTGACAGTGGCGCACACTATATATAAAGATGGCGAGGCGGTGGGGGCGTGCCCCTATATATAAAGATGGTCGTTTGGCACAGTCTGGGCGCCAAATGGTTACATCTTCCTTCCTCATCACATCTGAAACACTTCAGCGGCAGTTTAATTTGAGGCACAGTTTCAGGTTGTTGCCCTGCTTCTGTTATCATGCTCTGGTGTTCCTGGTTCAGCTTTCTTTGGTTTCTGGTCTTCTTATAGACAGTCCTTCAGTGCATGAGAACCAGAACAGAAAGCACACTCGAGTGTTCACCAGTAGTGCTTAGCTATGTGCCCACTGCCACAGTACCCGTAAGTGCTGGCAGCCGGCACTCCACAGGGTCTGGTTGCCACACCCTGAACCTTCTTGATGGTGTATACAACCCAGCAAACCAACACAAAACGGGCATAACTGACCAACCTCTCACTGTTCAAAAGTGAACTTGATCAAACACCTTCAAAAGGATACCTAACAACTAGGCTGTGAGTCATACATCAGGCTGCAAGTAGCCCTGCCAAATAACCTGCTTAACCAGACAACCAAGCAGGAGGCCTAGTCAGAGACAGGGTTATGGGGATGTTGATCCTTGGAATCGTCAAAGGGTAACCGAAAGATAAGAAGGGTCAATGGAGAAGAGAAGGGAGGGAAAAAGATGGACATTCACCAAGTGTGTCAGGAAGTGGAGACTGTGTGCAGACAACAAGCACAATAAGGTAAGGGACAAGGCTTGGTGGAAACAGTTTATAAGAATGTGAATGTTTTTGTATATTGAACTCACAAAGATCACTGTATACCCGGTCTTATGAAGCAGTGGTGTGCTGTTGTGGTCGATTGTTTGAGTGCGATACTGCATATTTATTCACAATGCTATGTAATGTAAATATAATGGTCAGGTGTTACTTTGTAGTATCTACAGCACTTTCACTAAATTGCTTCCCTTTATCTCCAAACTCGTGCCTCTTAACCCTATGAAAGTTGGAAATGGGTACTTTATAATGAGCACATTTTGTTTTTGAAGTAGGGATACCATCTTTCACCAAGGGATATATACAGTATTATAACAAATGATATACAGTTCTGTAAATAGAGTACTGACAGAAGCTTACCTTATCAATTCTTGCAACACTCCGACAGATATGCTCGGTCTTTTGTGAGCAATGTATGATGACATAACTATGTCCAATGCACGACTGTATTCAAACTTGCACAACATTCTATCATATTTGGCCATTACTTCTCGCCTTGTGTGTGTTACAACCTGTTAGGAAACTAAATTATTAGATTCATGAAAGCACTTCAAATAAAATACGTATTCTAAGCATGCACTACAGTACATTACAGCATATTAACAAGACACTGCAACACAATGCATCCTTGCATTTCTTCGACAGTTTTGAGTATCCGTTTGCACGTCTTCTTGTTCTATTATCTCTCAATTTAAAAATACTTTCCTTGTTAACTTTGTTCCTTCAGTATCATGTATGTAGAGACCATAGTCCCTCTGGCTCTCCTCTCCTTCAGGGTTGCCGGATTTAATTCTCCTAACCTGTCATCATAGCTTAGCACTCTTTAATTCTGGCAATAATCCTTTAGAAAGCCTTTGTACCCTTAAAAGTTGTCTCTTGTGCATTATGAAAGGCAGATTCCATGCCAGTGCTGCGTGTTCCAAGGGCGCCTGACAGCTGGGTGGACAGCACTTCAGATTCGTAGTCCTGAGGTTCCAGGTTCAATCCCTGGTGGAGGCAGACACAAATGGGCAAAATGTTTCTTCACCCTGATGACCCTGTTACCTAACAGTGAATAAGTACCTGGGAGTTAATCAGCTGCTATGGGCTGCTACCAGGGGGTGTGTAACAAAAAGGAGGCCTGGTTGAGAACCGGGCCGCGGGGATGCTAAGCCCCAAAATCATCTCAAGATAACCTCAAGATATAACCTCTAGGTTTGTTCTTACATTGTACAATATAATAATTGGTCCAATTGTTACCAAATGTACAAATGATCTTACAATGTCATGAAAATCCTTGATTACATTTTTTAAATGGCATTCATATGTTTTCTAGCTTTGCAGAAATTAAATCCATTCCCTATTGACATGTGGTTACTTGCCTAGTTGTATTTGCAGGGGACGAGTCACAGCTCTTGGGTCCCACTTCTCGACTCTTAATCGACTGATTTATAGGTTCCAGAACCTAGTGGGATGTGTCATACCTTCACTTAAAACTATGTACAGTATAGAATCTGCCCTTCCCCCCCCACCTCCTACTTTACTTTGTAGCGCATTTCAAATGTTCATTGCTGACACTGAAAAATACTAATACTGTACCCAGTCTTTCCTCATAGCTCATACTTCTCAACAAAGGGACTAGCTTGGTGGCATACCTCTGAACTTTCTTCTGCTTCATTCTGTGCTTAACAAGATAAGGACTCCATGCGTGCTGCATACTGCCAAATTGGTCTTAAATAATTGGAAACCTGTATAAGATTCTGAATGACTTTTTGTTTAGATTCCAAAAGACAGTTCTTGTATTAGCCAACCTTCTGCATGCAGCATTATGATAATATTTTGATGACAAGTTGGGGTAATAGTAACCCCTAAGTCTTTTTCCGTTTGATTCAAATAGAATTTCCTCTCCTGGTGGTAAACTGGTAATTTTACTTTTCACTCAACCCTAGACATTTTTTATTGATTTACCCAAGACCAGAAGGTTCACCGATTACATAGGGAAGTTCTACACTGCAACCTTTACTTGGGGATTATGACATAACATTTGAAGAAAGAATTGGGGCCTTGGGAAAGTCACTGACCACAATTAAAACCAAATTCTCTGGTTCGTTTTCATTCGAGATTTCCTGGTTTACATTAAAAAAAATATGGGCCTCCTGGAGCAATCTCTTGATGCAACAAATTGGAGTTGGTCCTATATAGTTCATTGAATCGAGGATGCACTGTACATCCTCAATGAGCCACAGAGACATTGAAAGACATTTTTCAGTGTCAAAGTAGTTAAAAAGTAGAATGTGGCAAGTAGAAGTGGTGTAGGCAGATTCCATACACAGCTTTAAATGTAGATATGACAGATTCCAATAGGCTCTACATACCAGTCAATTAAGAGCTGAAAGGCAGGACTTGAGCTGTGACTCATTTCCCATAAGTACAACTAGAAAAGTGTAACTAGAAGAGTACTGGGAGTATCCTCTGGCATCATCAAAACCTGGTCGGGCTATGCCCCACCCAGTGATGTTAACATGCTTCTTAAGTCTGCCACCAGGTACTTTATGAACCAAAAGCAATACAAAAAATTTCCTTACACAACCATATGCAACTCCTGAAGGCTTCAAGCCTATATGCAATGGAATTCACCAGACATCATACAAAACCCAAAATTTTAAAACTAACAAATTTATTCCATCAAAGCCATAAACTATCCCATGTACCTGACATGTTTTGCAGATTAGGATTGCAATGCAAGTCAAAAATAAAATCCATAATGCAGAAATCTGTAAGGGAATGCAATTTAAGGGTTCAAGAGCCGTACCTGATCATCAGCCATTATTACGAAATCTTCAGATGCAACATTTCTAATATTTGAAGCTTTTCGCTTGGATAGCACAGGAGCACTTGTTTCTGCATCCCGACGATGCTGGAAAGACATTAGCCCACACCCTGCAGAAATCATTCCAACAGCTAGTGTAGAATCTCCAGGCTGTAGGGAAGAGAATGAAAAATAAAAAATACATAAATAAATACTGTAGCTAGATATGAATTCATCATAGTTGGGAAAATAAGAGTTATCTTTGGTCTCCTACCACTAGAGCAGATTCAGATCTTAACACTTTCCCATTCCAATGATGCTAAAACGTGTCATTGGTACTTTGACAATAAACATTTCAATTGAACTAAAGTGCGTCATTTGATAGTTATCATAAATATTTAAATATTCATCACTGTCATACATAAATCTACCATAATTACGTTTTTGCTTCTATTCTCTTAAATAATTCATTTGGAAACATTTTGACACCAAATGTATTGTTATAACCCAACAAACAAACTTGGAAAATGTAAAATGCTTGTAAAAATTTTTGTTTGCATTGCCGAGTGGACTGGGAGCTGCTCCCAAGAGCCCAGAACGTTTATAGTCAGGAACACGTGGAGAGGCCAGACCACCAGTCTTAATAACAACAGTTCATTTACTGATGTTTAGTAGTCACCAAGGGGTTTCTGAAGCACAACTGTGTAATGGAAACACACAATAGAAAATAATTGTATTACTGAATACAATATTATGTGCTGATTGATATCATTTGCAGATTCATAAATAATTAATGTATCCATTAGAAATGTGTCCAATGTCAAATTGAGTGAAGATATGTGATTTTGATACAGCCTTAGTGCTTGTGCAATGTTAGGCACCTTAAAAGAAATGCTGTACTGTCTATATTGAGATCACTGGGGTTGCCTATCTCTAAGTGGGCATGTAAAGGCATAAATGATGATCATCTCTTTTAAGGTGTTCAATTTGGTGTTAGGAAAAATCTTCTTCGTATGCAAGTTGGCAGTCTTTCTACTGTAATGGTATATAGTGTGCTGTATCTTCTGTGCTGTATTGGTGGGGACAATCACAAAAGTTGGGGTGATATGTGTAATGAGAGTGAAGACGAGAAAAAAAAAAACAAATTCACTTTTGACAAATGAAATCAACCTGCCTAGTACCCACTGCCATACCATTAATTTCATCACAACAGATATTGTTCTATACAAGAGACTTTACTTGTGTAAACCTTATTTATAACTTACAGCAACTGCCATGCTGAGAACTGGTGCAGGGTAGTCAAGTGTGTGAACAACAGAGTAAGTTTCAACATCATAGATCTTGACATGACGGTCAAGAGAGCCAGACAAAAGTCTCTTCTTATCACTGGCAAAAGCAAGGCAGGTGACAGTCTTGTGATGCTGCGATAGTTTAGCTAATAATTGCCCTGCAATGGCATCCCATACTTTAACCTCACAACCACCTAGGAAAAACAAAAAGTTAAAAAATTAATCAAACATAAATAAAGTATATACTGTACATGGCTGGGAAGATTAGATTTTAAGAGATGATGTTTTGTCTGCAAGTGCAAAGCTAAGATGTACACAGAGCTAGCTCCTTAAAAAGAAAAAGTAAGGCAATGTGGATGTGGGGTGCTTACATAATTATGCATACAAGAATTGGCTCTTGGTTCCCACCTCAGCTATTTTACCTGGTGTGTGTGTGCATGCTTAAATATTTTTTTTATTTTCTCACTTTCTTCTGAGGCTGGGAATGGAGATTGCTAACATGCCTTCTGCTCCCAGCTCATTTCATTCCTTTACCACCCACTCTGTATATGAACACATCTTGTACACATCTCTTGGGCTCATTTGTTTTCCAACTTCCACCTGTTTCCCCCCTTCATTCTATATCCCTTCTTCTGAAAGTGTGTTCATCTATGTACCTAGTCTATCCCCTCAACATTTTTTTTATATGTTGTGATCATATCTCCTCCAGACTCACTCACTCTCTCTCCTAGCTCCTCTGAGTTCACCTCTTATCTTAAGGAACAGTCTCACAGGAAATGTGACTTTTTTCTTGAGCTTTATAAAGGTGTGCATTCCATGCCAGTGTTGCATATCCTAGAAACAGAGCAAAAGTTAAAGTGCTTATAAACGACTTATAAAATTCAAATGAAACAGAAAACCATACATGTGACGAGGAAAATAATAAATACTTATTCAAATGTACAAAATAAAAAAAAAATCTACAACCAGTACTTGGCCTATAGTATTTACAATTTAAGGTTTAAAAATCAGAGGATAACAAAGAAATGTGCAAAATCCCAAAGGAACAGTATACAGCCATGTTTAGCACCCCAATAAACAACATGACAATATAATAGATATAAACAATCACAACAGACCTTGAAAAACAGACTAACAACATGCCCATGCACACAGTTAATATCTAACTCATTATTTTAACAAGGTACAAATTATTGATTGAAAATAAAGTATTTAGGATGAATTTGCACTTTCGTGTGCCCTGGGAGGTAGAACAGGAAACAGAGTGGAGGGCAACGTCGAATAAGGCATCATTAAACAGATACAAGAAGGTGGATATGTGGAAAGAGAAAAAAAATATATCGATAAAGACAGTTTGAAATACAGTATAGCCTAATGTGTAACTAGACATGAAAAGGAATTCATACCTGCCGAAACAAAAACTCCGCCTGATGGAAAACATACAAGGCTCTCAACTGGAGCCCCATGGTCGACAGTGAGGACGCAGCTTGCTGTACGCGTGTCCCACAGCTTTACTGTATGGTCATATGAGCCACTGAGAATTATGTTTTCCGATGCTGGACTTGCAATTCCAGCACGCACAAAATCCTGTAAAAGTAAAGATTGTTACAGATTACACAAACACATTCTTCAATTGAAAGTAAAGCAACAAACTAGCTACCCTCAGCCATTGGGGGGGAAAACAGTACTAGCAAGGAGGAAGCAAAAGGACATGGCCCTATCTACTAGACATGGCTATTATCTTTGCTTACACTGTATTGCTGTTAAATGTTCTGCATCATTTTCTTCACCTCTACAGGAATATAATAATATACACCTGGAAGATACTGGAGGGCCAAGTACCAAATCTACACAGTAAAATAACAACGTACTGGAGTGAACGACATGGAACAAAATGTAGAATAGAACCAATGAAGAGCAGAGGTGCCATAGGCACAATCAGAGAACACTGTATAAACATCAGAGGTCCGCGGTTGTTCAACGTCCTCCCAGCAAGCATAAGAAATATTGCCGGAACAACCGTGGACATTTTCAAGAGGAAACTAGATTTATTCCTCCAAGGAGTGCCGGACCAACCGGGCTGTGGTGGGTATGTGGGCCTGCGGGCCGCTCCAAGCAACAGCCTGGTGGACCAAACTCTCATAAGTCGAGCCTGGCCTCGGGCCGGGCTTGGGGAGTAGAAGAACTCCCAGAACCCCATCAACCAGGTATCAACCAGGTATCTACATCAACCTTTTAACCCCTACTGTGAAGCTATAAATTTGCCCGCATTTCTACCAACGAAAAAAAAAAAATCCCTTACAGAGTGATTATTATGAACACAACACGTATGGAAAAGTGGAAATAATCTTAATATCTACATCGCAGCCATCATGCAATGAATAAGTTGAGCATGTGGCAGCCCATCACCCATCTGTCAACACCAGACCTAATGTCAACTATTCACAGTGATTGAACCAGATAACTAACTCTCAGTGTTGACCTTGGATGTCTAGACAATTATTTTTACACTGATATGTTTGTATGAATGAATAAATTATTATTAATAAAAACATAAGAATTAAAGAAACTGCAGAAGGCCTATAGGCCCATGGAAAATAGTTCCTATTTATATTCCCTTAAGGTCATTCATATATGAACCAATAGGAGTTTGATTTATTTTACTTCAACATTATCTCTGGTTCTCCTGACTTACTCTCACTTTAAGCCAACTTGTATTGCTTGCTTGGTTTGACTTCACCACCACTTTTAAGTTTGTGACTGCATTCTTTAAACATTGTAATATTTTTGTGAAGAGTTACATCGAAACACAAAGGTATTGTTTTCATAACACATCAACTCCTGAATTGTGTCCTGCCTCCTGAATGGCATATTGTACAACAAGGCACATAAATCACGCCCCCCATCGGCTAAAATTGAACGAAAACTGCAGTCATAAGATGTAGAATCACTCGCAATTTAAATACGTGAGGCTTCCTTCACAGGCAACGAATGTCATCTCTCAATGCTTTTGCTTTTCCGAGACTTATACAGTATGTTATGTTTTCTATGTCGTGCACCAGAAGTGTGGATACACAACCTCTCTATACATCTGATATTTCATTCCAGTTAGGCACTATTTTCTAAGGAAATAACCTGGTCAGAGAAGCCTGCTGGCAGCCCTATAATTGCCAAATACAGTAATCTGAAATTAAGATTACCTATTTCAAAAATACATTTGACAAATCTGTATCTTTTATATAAAATATAAAGCTTCACAACAATTCTCGTATTTGAGCATTAATAATTCAATAAGAGTAATAAATAAATGTTCAACAATTTATCAATTCCATACTAGACACAGAAACATAAAAAATATGGAATGTGAATAACAAACATTAAATAAGCATACCGTATGTCCTGTTAAAGTGCAAATTTGGCTCTCATCACTCATATCCCATAGAATGGCGGTCTTGTCATCTGAGAAGGTAACAATCTGTGGCGAACTCTGGATGAAGTCAACACGGTGAGTGGGACTGTAAGAAAATTACTTGAATCAGCATATGTAGGTTCAAGTGGACACATATTTACGTAAATAGCGATATGCATACATTTCTTCCCTGCAATAAGGAAGGATGGTTCATGCAGCACCCCAAAAAGTGTAATATCCTGTTTGATCATTACTTGTGAATCCTAATCCTAATCAGATACACTACCTGCATTAAGATGCTAGCTCTATTTGCCCTTTCATCTCTAATAACACTTACACTGCACGTGATATGATGGTATCTGGAAAGCCGCTCGGCAAGTTGTGGGCATTTCTTTCCCCAAAGCATCATTTACTATCGCAGATTTGATTCTTGATCCTATTAAGCATAGGAATAAGAACTAAGAGATTGTTTGAAGATGGTGGAACCAGAAAGACGAACGCAGAAGGTTATTTAAATCTGAACTGTGTTTGCCAGAGATATAAAAATATTTCTTTAATTTGAGGGTAGGAAGCAGAATATAGAAGGAGTGCGAGAGGAACTAATGCCATATACAAATGTTATTAAAAATGTAAGTAAACCCCAACCGACACTCAAACCCACAAGGCTTGGTGCTTTTTCCCTGGTAAGGGAGCACTGTCGTACATACGGTATTTGTGCCATCATGGCAGTGGGAGTTTCTAGCCTCGTTGTGTAGATGGTACTCCCTGGTGGTGATCAGGTAGCAAGTAGCTCAGTAACTATTTGCTAGTTCTGGTGACTCAAATTATTACATGAGACGGGGGGGGTGTCGATCGGTTCACGTCAGTTTTTGTATGATACAAAGTTGTTCCTCCGGTCCTGGAGTGAGACTATACTGTCTAAACCCCCTCCCCAACCAAGCCCTCACATTATATGGCAAGACAATTTGAAAAGTTGGGATGTCTTTAGTTTCAAAACTATTTGCAATGAAGTTCTCCAGAAATTGCATAATGCTGCAAATTTTAGAACAAATGAAAAAAGTTAAAAACTGCAAAGTACCCATACAGGGGGGGATACTCATTAGCCTATAGAAATATTTGTTTAATACACAACTTTTAAAAAGTATTTGCCTGTGAAGACTTTCAGCTCCAGATGAAAACATCAATAGGGATGTCTTAGACTTTAATATTGGGATGTATGAATAGTAGGCTCAAAGTCTGACCCGGAAACCTTTAAGTTACTCTACATCTGCAATTAGAAGAGCTTCAGCAGTTCCTGGGAACTTGGGGATAAAGAGAATTCTGCAAATTAATCCCTTTTACATATTTAAATACCTGGATGCAAAAATTAAATACTGTCTGAAAGACTGGGCATGATTATTGGCTTCCAGAAAAAATAAATACCTACCATGTAATCACTGTACTCAGATCCTTAAATTTTTTTAAATAAAATAGTTTTATCATAGAAATCTTACTCCCTTTAACCAATATTTGCAATCCTCTTTATTCTACCTACTTGCTTGCAGCAAAGCATTGGTACATTCCCTCAGCTTTAGGTTCTATATTTTTCATTTTTTGTAAATCACAGATACAGTAGTATCTAAATGGTCTTTCACTCCCAGATAACATTACTCACTGCCTTGTCTACACAGCATGAATCTTCCTTTTACATGGATAATGATATTTTCATTACTATGTAAGGAAATAAACTCATGCCTCTCACAATGCCTACATATCAAACCATTTCAAACTATACAACTGAAATACAGGATTAGCATCCTTATAATCTTGAAACTATTTCCTATAATTAAACGTATGACAACTTACCCATGATGTCCTTTAAATATTCTAAGAAGCTGTTTTTGTTTATAATTGAATAGTTTAACTTGGCCCTCTTCTGAACCAGCCAAGAGAAGCTGGCCATCGTGCTTAAACTTTCCACCGTAGGCTATCCGCTGAAATCTTGTAATAGTTCGCCACACTTGTGTTGCCTCCTTGTGGTAAACATCAATCTGAGAAAGGAACAGGGCCAGACCTCATATTTATTAACAATAAAATACCGTCAGAATTAACCCTTAAACTGTGCAAAACCTCATATGATGCGTGACACTGAACTCAGTTTTTTAAATTTTCTGAAACTCTTCCAAATGTTTTATGAATAATCTACTAGGCAAATGCTCCAACTTTGTCTAAATTATACCAGTGTTACTTGAAAAACAAGAAAATAAAAAATAATTATAAAATTGAATATTGAAAACTTCAGATTTTGAAATCGGCTGCAAAAATATAAAATTATCACCATTTGGTGTTATGCTCTCAGGTGTTATTTGGTGTAATAACACCAAACAAGTGTGTTTGGTGTTATTATGCATATGATCTTCATTTCATATATTTAGGTTTTCAGTATAGTTTACTGTAAAAAAAAAAATTGGGTAAGGTTTTAATATGGCAAAAATAGTTAAGTGAACAAATACATTTATATGTAACCAGCCTTTTATACAGCAAAGTCAACACCAGGTACTGGAACAACAACAATGGCCATTCAGAGCCGGCACAAAAAAAAAAAGAGTAAAATAATGGCAGGAGCTGGGACTCGGGTGGTTATTTTGCATGTTTATACTGTAACTGGTAAAATGCTTTATTACTGTTATACTGTACTTCATTTACTTAATTTGAAGCTATGAACAGGCTTGCAGACTACAAACAAAGCAGCCACAATCCAAAGGGAGAATGAGAGAAGAAAGTATGTTTTGGTGAGCATTAATAAATTACCCACAATTTGTGGCACTCCGCCTTTACACCTCACATGTACATTACAGTATTAAACAAAAATTAGCTAACTTCTTAGAGACTAATTTTGTACATTAAGTAATAATTAATACACCATGTCAAAAAATAATACTGTAAAACCATTAACAAAATAAAGTTATGTATTGCAGTGTTAATTTCTTTGTGACAGTTCCACAACACCCAAAGCAACCTCTCCAGTTCATTTTTTTTCCATGTAAAAAGTTTTGTGTTCTGTTGTAATTTATTATCATTTGACAAATATCTCTATTATCCAATGTATTCTAATTCTCTCCATAAGGTTATTAACAATAAACTCCGCAGTATAATATTACACTTGGTCTCCAAGAAAGCATTGCTGCATTGTTGTAGGTTGCAAGGCCTCCAACCTTATTGAAGAATCAAAACTAAAGTCTATCATTAATCCTTTGTATATTGGCTAAAAACTTTGGTTCTATAGATGATGGATTTTAATACATTTCTTGATACATGTAATTAAAAAAATGTAACATTTTAAAAATAAACATTTAGAAATTTTTAACATTTCTAAAATTTAACATTTTAGCTTACCTTTGGACCAGATGTAACAGCAATATAGTGAGGGTCTACTGGGCTCACATCAACATAATTAATAGCAGTAAACTCCTTTACGGTGACTGGGAACTGAAATTAGACATTATATTTCTATTATAAATACTCAAAGTCATCCAAAGTTAGGTTACAGATGATTAATTTTTGAAAAGACAAAATTATCTAAGTTGCTGGTTTCATAGCCAGGGTAAGATAGCCTGGTATAAATCTACCAGGCTTGGGCATACTGGATTGTTAACCACACAGAAATACACACGTGCTTTCATCAGATAAACATATAGAGCTATCCACTTTACTTCCCTAATCATTTCATGTCCAGAAAATTTATAATTAAACATTTTAAAAGCAATGAAAAAATATATATCCTCAAAAGAGGGAGTTTTCAATTTCTCACTGCTCCAGGCAGCTATGATAAAAGAATATGAAAAAATCCATAGGAGCAGCGATGAGGGTTCAAACCTATGCGGTGGATGTTTCCACACACATGCTTCTAACGACTAGACCACAACATGGTATAGGAATTGCAACCTGGAGTTCTTCTGAACACACAAGGATTTCCCGAGGCTTCTACTGAAGCTAGAACAGGATTTTCACACAATCCTCCCATGCACTCTGACTGTGCATGTCATCTAGGACTTGCTCTACTTGACATTCCTCTTTCAATACACAGAGAAATCACACTAACATGACTGCATCAATGAGAAAATCCAGAGGAGCCGTGATGAAGGTTCAAACCTTCTGTTTCGGCTTCAGTAGAAGCCTTGGGAAATCCTTGTGGGTTCAGTAGAACCCACTATTTTGTTCCAGCCCATCCTCCAAACAAAGATCCAAAAGTGATTCCCTGCACCTTGCAAACCCCGTTTATGAATGAAAAACGGTTTACACACGACTCGACTGATTTCGTTCAAACACTTCCAGAACAAGTGCTTCACTGACGAATTTTGTTTGAACCACAACGCTGTAAATGCTTCACCCACGTACTACAAATAATCGCCAACAGAACCTAAATACCTAACCTATGCCTATATATGCACAATATGCTAATATATTATAATAATTTATATTTGAGAAAATTTGTTTTGAATGAACAGCATGTTAAAATTTATGAATGCATCTGTGGGGTCGACCGCTGGATGTAATGGATTTGAGTCAAGGACGGGTTATTTGTTCTGAACCCACTGTTCCTCATTAAAAGGCATTTATCCTTGGATATGTCAGTTAAAATAAATAATTTAAGTATATTCTGTATAAAGTTTCCTCAAGTCAAAGAGTAAGATTAAATGTCATTACCAAGAATCGAATTAGATCAGAAATAATATTCACACACTTATGTAAATTTATTATTTTTGATTTTTTTGCCCTCATTGCTAGGCTAGACTAGGCAAGGTTGGTTATAGAGTTGAGATGACGTGAACCACAGAGAAGCGGGGCGACTTGTCCAGACACAGCAAGAGGCCATGTTTACACTCGCAACCCCATAAATTAAAACATAATAACCTATCTTGAGGCATATTTTTACTCTATTTTAAATTATAAACTAATGATATACCTCTAGCTTCTTCCAGTAGCTTGTGTCAGGTGTGGTGACCGCGGTGGACTTGCTGTAGGCACGTGTGAGTGTCTTCTTGAAGGCTGCCATTGTTTACACTGAATGATAACCCGCAAGACCAAACTATTTCACGTGGGCCTGGCAAAAAAAAAAAGATATTTAGTATTGCCAAAAACTTATTTAGGCAAATTTAAGATTTTCATTTTAAATAGATCTTTAAATTGTGATATTTATTAATGACGCTTAGAGGAAATTATCGATAAAGTATTTTCGCCCTGCGCCTCATGGTCACCCGAGTACAAACGGAGTAGAGAGAGAGAGCATCGCTTCATTTATTATACACCCCATACCCATCCTGTGGGATGGTAGTGGAAAGGGTTACAGAGCCACATACTGGGCTCAGGGACTGAACCCCAATAACTACTACAGTGGATTTTGACAAGGACCACATGCGGCCAGATCCAAATTGCTGAAAGATACCGACTAGATGACGGTCTAAAAATAGCGAATTTGTAATAAGAGTAGCCCAATTTTTTGTTTAGTGACGGATACGGGTTTCAAAGTACAGTAATATATTTTGATATATAGAGTACACTACACGATCTTAATTATTTTATTAATATTATTTCTGCACACACACACACATATATATATAATATATTTACACATATACACATTACACACATTATATATATATATATATATATATATATATATATATATATATATATATATATATATATATATATATATATATATATATATATGTCGTACCTAGTAGCCAGAACGCACTTCTCGGCCTACTATGAAAGGCCCAATTTGCCTAATAAGCCAAGTTTTCCTGAATTAATATATTTTCTCTATTTTTTTTTTCTTATGAAATGATAAATCTACCCATTTCATTATGTATGAGGTCAATTTTTTTTTATTGAAGTTAAAATTAACGTAGATATATGACCGAACCTAACCAACCCTACCTAACCTAACCTAACCTATCTTTATAGGTTAGGTTGGGTTAGGTAGCAGAAAAAGTTAGGTTAGGTTAGGTTAGGTAGGTTAGGTAGTCGAAAAAACATTAATTCATGAAAACTTAGCTTATTATGAAAATCGGGCCTTGCATAGTAGGCCAAGAAGTGAGTTCTGGCTATTAGGTACGACATATATATATATATATATATATATATATATATATATATATATATATATATATATATATATATATATATGTCGTACCTAGTAGCCAGAACTCACTTCTCAGCCTACTATTCAAGGCCCGATTTGCCTAATAAGCCAAGTTTTCCTGAATTAATATATTTACTATAATTTTTTTCTTATGAAATGATAAAGCAACCCTTTTCTCTATGTATGAGGTCATTTTTTTTATTGGAGTTAAAATTAACGTAGATATATGACCGAACCTAACCAACCCTACCTAACCTAACCTATATTTATAGGTAAGGTTAGGTTAGGTAGCAAAAAAAAGCTAGGTTAGGTTAGGTTAGGTAGGTTAGGTAGACGAAAAACATTAATTCATGAAAACTTGGCTTATTAGGCAAATCGGGCCTTGAATAGTAGGCTGAGAAGTGCGTTCTGGCTATTAGGTACGACATATATATATATATATATATATATATATATATATATATATATATATATATATATATATATATATATATATATATATATATATATATGTCGTACCTAGTAGCCAGAACGCACATCTCAGCCTACTATGCAAGGCCCGATTTGCCTAATAAGCCAAGTTTTCCTGAATTAATATATTTTCTCTATTTTTTCTCTTATGAAATGATAAAGCTACCCATTTCATTGTGTATGAGGTCAATTTTTTTTATTGCAGTTAAAATTAACGTAGATATATGACCGAACCTAACCAACCCTACCTAACCTAACCTAACCTAACCTATCTTTATAGATTAGGTTAGGGTAGGTAGCCGAAAAAGTTAGGTTAGGTTAGGTTAGGTAGGTTAGGTAGTCGAAAAACTATTAATTCATGAAAACTTGGCTTATTAGGCAAATCGGGCCTTGCATAGTAGGCTGAGAAGTGCGTTCTGGCTGCTAGGTACGACATATATATATATATATATATATATGCGAACAAGCCTGAATGGTCCCCAGGACATATGCAACTGAAAACTCACACCCCAGAAGTGACTCGAACCCATACTCCCAGAAGCAACGCATCTGGTATGTACAAGACGCCTTAATCCACTTGACCATCACGACCGGACATAATGAGGTGATAGCCGAGGCTATTTGAACCACCCCACCGCCGGCACTCGGATAGTTATCTTGGGCATAGCATTTTACCAAATCACCTCATTCTTTGGGGCAACACGTGAGGAACACAAATGCGAACAAGCCTGAATGGTCCCCAGGACATATGCAACTGAAAACTCACACCCCAGAAGTGACTCGAACCCATACTCCCAGAAGCAACGCATCTGGTATGTACAAGACGCCTTAATCCACTTGACCATCACGACCGGACATAATGAGGTGATAGCCGAGGCTATTTGAACCACCCCACCGCCGGCACTCGGATAGTTATCTTGGGCATAGCATTTTACCAAATCACCTCATTCTTTGGGGCAACAAACTATTTCACGTGGGCCTGGCAAAAAAAAAAAGATATTTAGTATTGCCAAAAACTTATTTAGGCAAATTTAAGATTTTCATTTTAAATAGATCTTTAAATTGTGATATTTATTAATGACGCTTAGAGGAAATTATCGATAAAGTATTTTCGCCCTGCGCCTCATGTCACCCGAGTACAAACGGGAGTAGAGAGAGAGAGCATCGCTTCATTTATTATACACCCCATACCCATCCTGTGGGATGGTAGTGGAAAGGGTTTACAGAGCCACATACTGGGCTCAGGGACTGAACCCCAATAACTACTACAGTGGATTTTGACAAGGACCACATGCGGCCAGATCCAAATTGCTGAAAGATACGACTAGATGACGGTCTAAAAATAGCGAATTTGTAATAAGAGTAGCCCAATTTTTTGTTTAGTGACGGATACGGGTTTCAAAGTACAGTAATATATTTTGATATATAGAGTACACTACACGATCTTAATTATTTTATTAATATTATTTCTGCACACACACACACATATATATATAATATATATACACATTATACACATTACACACATTATATATTTATATATATATATATTATATATATATATATATATATATATATATATATATATATATATATATATATATATATATATATATATATATATATATATATATGTCGTACCTAATAGCCAGAACGCACTTCTCAGCCTACTATTCAAGGCCCGATTTGCCTAATAAGCCAAGTTTTCATGAATTAATGTTTTTTTCGTCTACCTAACCTACCTAACCTAACCTAATCTAGCTTTTTTTGGCTACCTAACCTAACCTTACCTATAAATATAGGTTAGGTTAGGTTAGGTAGGGTTGGTTAGGTTCGGTCATATATCTACGTTAATTTTAACTCCAATAAAAAAAATTGACCTCATACATAGAAAAAGGGTTGCTTTATCATTTCATAAGAAAAAAATTATAGTAAATATATTAATTCAGGAAAACTTGGCTTATTAGGCAAATCGGGCCATGAATAGTAGGCTGAGAAGTGAGTTCTGGCTACTAGGTACGACATATATATATATATATATATATATATATATATATATATATATATGTCGTACCTAATAGTCAGAACGCACTTGTCAGCCTACTATGCAAGGCCCGATTTGCCTAATAAGCCAAGTTTTCCTGAAGTAATATATTTTCTCTAATTTTTTTCTTATGAAATGATAAAGCTACCCATTTCATTATGTATGAGGTCGATTTTTTTTATTGGAGTTAAAATTAACGTAGATATATGACCGAACCTAACCAACCCTACCTAACCTAACCTAACCTAACTTTATAGGTTAGGTTAGGTTAGGTTAGGTAGCCAAAAAAGTTAGGTTAGGTTAGGTTAGGTAGGTTAGGTAGTCGAAAAACAATTAATTCATGAAAACTTGGCTTATTAGGCAAATCGGGCCTTGCATAGTAGGCTGAGAAGTGCATTCTGGCTACTAGGTACGACATATATATATATATATATATATATATATATATATATATATATATATATATATATATATATATGTCGTACCTAGTAGCCAGAACTCACTTCTCAGCCTACTATTCAAGGCCCGATTTGCCTAATAAGCCAAGTTTTCCTGAATTAATATATTTACTATAATTTTTTTCTTATGAAATGATAAAGCTACCCTTTTCTCTATGTATGAGGTCAATTTTTTTTTATTGGAGTTAAAATTAACGTAGATATATGACCGAACCTAACCAACCCTACCTAACCTAACCTAACCTATATATATAGGTAAGGTTAGGTTAGGTAGCCAAAAAAAGCTAGGTTAGGTTAGGTTAGGTAGGTTAGGTAGACGAAAAAACATTAATTCATGAAAACTTGGCTTATTAGGCAAATCGGGCCTTGCATAGTAGGCTGAGAAGTGCGTTCTGGCTACTAGGTACGACATATATATATATATATATATATATATATATATATATATATATATATATATATATATATATATATATATATATATATATATATATATATATTTATATATATATATAGCGTACCTAGTAGCCAGAACGCACATCTCAGCCTACTATTCAAGGCCCGATTTGCCTAATAAGCCAAGTTTTCCTGAATTAATATATTTTCTCTATTTTTTCTCTTATGAAATGATAAAGCTACCCATTTCATTATGTATGAGGTCAATTTTTTTTTATTGGAGTTAAAATTAACGTAGATATATGACCGAACCTAACCAACCCTACCTAACCTAACCTAACCTAACCTCTTTATAGATTAGGTTAGGTTAGGTAGCCGAAAAAGCTAGGTTAGGTTAGGTTAGGTAGGTTAGGTAGTCGAAAAACTATTAATTCATGAAAACTTGGCTTATTAGGCAAATCGGGCCTTGCATAGTAGGCTGAGAAGTGCGTTCTGGCTACTAAGTACGACATATATATATATGCGAACAAGCCTGAATGGTCCCCAGGACATATGCAACTGAAAACTCACACCCCAGAAGTGACTCG